TCTTCTTCCTGAGGTCAGTGGCAAGGCTCCCCTTCTTTGCAAAGGCAGCAAGAGAGGGTCTGTAATTAGCCTAGAGGGGTGATTTTTTTTCTGATCCCTCTGGGAAACTGCACACAAATATTGTTTTGCTGTTCTCTTACTTTGTTAGGATACAAATAACTGATGAAATGGTTTTATTTATCACTGTCACATAAGTGTCCACCATTTAACTTTGAACTTTAGAGGGATATTCAGGAGGTAGGGAAATTTTATACCATATCTCTTTTTTTTTTGTCATAAAAAGCATGCAGTGATTTGCACATTTAATCATATAGGTAATAATTAACTTGCAATAGGGAGAAATGCCTGCATCCAGGGCAATTCACCTACTGGTCCTCTGCCTTCTATATGAAAGGAGCGAGGACATTTTCCCAACATACACAACCTAGCCAACCTGTGCCGGATTTAAACTGACAGCCTACAATCCTACCTTTATAAGAATGTAAGTAACTAAAAGTTAATAGTGGATCCTGTCTACCTGGACATCAGCAAGGCTTTCTACATTGTCACTCACAAAATCCTCATAGGCAACCTCAAGAAGTGTGGGTTGGATGAGTGGATAGTGGGATCCATTGAAAACTGGCAGAATGGCAGATTCCAGATGGTCGTGATTAGTGGTACAGGGTCTAGTTGGAGACCTGTCGTTAGTGGTGTCCCTCAAGGTTCTGTGCTGGGCCCAGTGTTGTTTAACTTGTTCATCAGTGACTTTGATGAAGGGGCAAATGCCTCCTCAGGAAGTTCACTGATGGTACGAAACTGGAAGGAGTGGCCAATACCCCAGAGGGCTGTGCAGCCCTTCAGAGGCACCTCGACAGGTTGGAGAGATGGGCAGAAAAGAACCATCTGAAATTTGACAAGGGCAAATGCAGAGTTCTGCACCTGGGGAAGAATAACCCCCTGCCCCAGTACAGGCTGGGGTCTGACTGTAAGCAGTAAGCAGTTCTGTGTAGAGAAGGATCTGGGGGTCCTGATGGACAACAAAAAACTGTCCTTGAGCCAGCAGTGCTCTTGTGGCCAAAAAAAGCCAATGGAATTCTGAGATGCATTAGAAAGAGCATTGCCAGCAGGTTGAGGGAGGTGGTCCTGCCTCTCTACTCAGCCCTGGTGAGGCCACATTTGGAGTATTGTGTCCAGATCTGGGCTCCTCAGAACAAGAGAGACATGGAGCTCCTGGAGCAGGTCCAGTGGAGAGTACCTAAGTTGGTCAAGGGTCTGGAGTATGTCTCTTACAACAAAAGGCTGAGGGAGCTGGACCTGTTCAACCTTGAGAAGAAGCAACTGAGAGGGGACCTCATTAATATGTATAAATATCTGTAGGGTGGGTGGCAAGAGGATGGAGCCAGGCTCTTCTCGGTTGTACCAGGCAATAGAACAAGAAGCAACAGGCAGAAACTGGTACTCAGGAAGTTCCACCTAAACATGAGAAGAACTTCTTTACTGTGCAGGTGAACGAGCACTGGAACAGGTTGCCCAGAGAGGTTGTGGAATCTCCCTCACTGGAGATATTCAGAACCATCTGGACGCAATCCTGTGCCATGTGCTCTGGGATGACCGTGCTTAGGCAGGGAGGTTTGACTAGATGACCCACTGTGGTCCCTTCCTACCTGACCAATTCTGTGACACTGCAAAAAGCAAGACAGAAAAGATTGGCATTACAAACAGGCAATGAACTTGTGGAAGAGATGTAAACAGTTGCTGAATTTGTATCTCTTTTCTCCTGTCCTCCTATCCGCAGTTAATGATAGTTAAGAATTACATTGTATTGGTTACATTGTATTACAATGCATTCCATACATTGTCATACAATACACTCTATTGTATTATGTTGTATTAGTTGGGTAGTGCAGGATATGAGTCCAAGAATTTGAGGGCAATATTTTGAGAAATAGCTGTAACATAAGTATTCGATTTTTTATTTTTAGCTGTTTTATGTGACACTATGTATGACATTTCTCTAGGGTGTATATGAAGACACAGATTCTGCTGATCTCAAGTTTTATCTGTACTGAGTTTTGGGGGGTTGTTCATTTCTTCTTATGTGTTTTCTCCTGTCCCTTTTGGATGCTAACTAAACTACACTTGCCAGAAGGGAAAAGACTGCTATTCCCTTACCTCATCTCTGAGCTGGACATCTTTACTTACAGCTTCTGATTTCAGATGTCTGCCTATTTTCTAGCAGTGGTTCCCAGCAGCAGCTCTCTGGTTTCTGGCAATGATGCCAGGTAACTGTGTTCCGTGCCTGTGCAACCTTGTAAGTGACAGAAAGGACTCACTGCTATCTATATAAGTCACCAGAATTATTTTCCCTTTTGTTATTAATGAAAGTCTATCAATAATAAACTTTGGAATCAGCTGGCATTTCCAGCTTGACTCCAGTTTACCCTACCAGCAGCAGATACCTGTGCACAAAAGCTTCCTCAAACCCGTGCTGAGTGCTGAGCAAATTCCTGATATTTGACCTCTTCATTTTCTGTATCCAAATTTAACCACTTGGATATTACTCTGATCTTTGTACTCTCTGCTGTACTTTGATTTTCAGACTCCATTGTCAGGTTCACTTTTCCAGGTAAGAATTCCTTTAGAAAAGTAACCTGGGATCAGGCAGAGCCTTTAATGCAATTGTGAAAGATGCTCTTTACCAAAACATCAGAACCTGGATGATTTTTCACTGATTTATAGCAATTTTGGTGCAGTTCATATATTATTTTTGAGCATAAGAATTGGACAACGCCTGTGGCAACCTTTAAACATTGTGTTCTGATGGGTTATTTCCTTCAGATCAGATGAAAGGTTCATGGGTAGATCATAAATATTTGGTCTCTGTTCCTGAGATCAAAGGTTGCTTTTCATGAAAACAGTGAGGTGAATGTAGGAGTGGATGTGGATGTAGTAGAAGTCATTCTTTAGAAAGACCAGCTGCTGAATGTCAGGAAGGACTTTTTCCAAACCTGAGTAAGTGCAATTTCTTTCACATTCTTTGATTTTTTTTTTTTCTGTAATGTACCATTATAACCAGTTTTGGCTATTAGCACTGCTTTTACATCCTGACAATGCAGATAATCTATTACAAATCTGTCCTATGATAATCATTTACCAATACAGGGAACATTTCTAATTTAATTTAATGAAAGAGGTGAGCTGTTAAGTGAGGTGGTAGCTCAACAAATAAGCTTCCTTTGCACCTAAATGGAACCATTACTGTTATTATTCAGCATGATTGTGTTGCTTGGATAAAAACACTTTAAAAAAATAAAGAAAAGAAGCCTGCAGATATTCTGAGAACCATTTGGCAAATTCACAAATGATGTGAGTTAACTATAGGGGTTATTACAAATGGAGAAAGTAGGCAGTGCTGAACCAGCCCACCAGATAAGAAAATGTTGTGAGGATCTCTCTATAATTCTATTTCAAACTTTGTTAAATTATTCCTTTCATTATTTTTATTTACAGTCATGATCCTTTCCTGTGTTATTGCTGAACTATCAGGCTTCAATGCTGCTGCTGTTTTGCAGAAGTCAAGCACTGGAGGTTAAGAAACATTTGCCCCCAAAAACAATAATAAAAAATGCAGTAACAAATGATTGCTTCTGCATTTTCCATACCTTTCCATATTGTAAAATGGCAAAATTCTTTATACTTATCAGAGCATGGAAAACTATCAGGCAAGCAATTTCCCATTTGCAGTGGCTGCTGTTGCTAGTTCCCTATTGCAGTCTTCTCATGCTAGGACACATAATGTCTTTTTTCCGGTATTTTATGCTTTATGGATTTAAAGGGTAGAGAGCCCAGAATAGTTCAGAACTTGGCCTTTGCAAAACAGACATGGAATTTTGGGAAGCGGGTCACCCTGCTCCACACTGCCACAGTTTGTCAGAGGTTTTAATTTTTCATTCCCCTATCTCTTTGCAGTGGGTTGACAGCAGTAGACGCCTCTCTCCTCTCCCACCATTACAACAGGTTTCTTGGTTTTGGAGCCAGGCTCTTATCCAGGTAATACTTATAATTGTGGCAGTAGTTCAAGCAGATGATGTTTGGTCACTAAAGGTGTCTGTAGCTGTGGATCTTACACTGACTATTTTTTTTTAAGTTATTATCTTGCATTCATAACAGCAAGGTCACTGCTGTTGCAGATTTACTACATAAGCCAAGTGACTTCAGAAGAGTTGCTCACACGAGCTGAAATCCAGTTTATTGTATCACAGACTCTAAAGGGAAGACTCCTTGTTTCAGATCTCTCTGAATATTCGGCATGGATGAGGCAGACAAGTCTGTGACAGCCTAGGGAAGAGGAATACTACTTCCTGACATGCAGCCTCAGACCTTGTTAATATGATTATGTATGATGTGATTATGTGTCACCATCATTACAGTGATACATATGCAAAAACTGAACTCACAAGAGGAAAGAAACAAGTTGGTTCCATTTCCTTTCTAAGAAACTCTTTGATTTCTGTTGGAAGTAATGTAGTCTGAAAGCCAACAGCAGAATCTCAACCAGTCCTCAGAGAACATAACACACTTTCAAGTACTGGATTGGAAGTGATTTGCAGATTTCTCTTTCTGATGGGGTCTAAGGTCAGTTCTCTGTCATGTGCTTCAAGCACACCCAAGAAAGTTATTGATGGCTTGCAGATCGTGGTGGTCCTCATGGGAACTCTACCCTCATGAGTGGAGACTGAGAGCAAGAAAGTAAACCTACACAGATGCATGTCACATTTTCATCCTGAACAAGAGATGTATTTTAAAAGTGTGAATGCAAGTAAGTTAAGAATAATGGTGGTGACAATAAAGTGCAAAGTACAAGCAGAAGGAAAGTAAAGTATTCTGCTGGGTGTGGTATTGAACCCTATGCCTGTTGGTGCTGGGTTTCCTATATATGCTGGGTATGTGACTGCTTTTTGTAGGTGGCCTGGCAGATCTCTTCATCACTCAGCACCCCACTGAGGTTTCTGACTTCCTAGATGACCATGGATACCGAATATGAAAAAGATCATATCAAAAAACTGCAGGAGCAGCGTATGTCCATGCAAAAGAAAACCTTTACCAACTGGATTAACAATGTCTTCTCCAGGAATAATGTAGGTAGCTCCTTCAATCTGGGGATTCTTTTGGTTTGTTTTTATTTTATTTCACCCACTGTATTCTTTTTTATGTTATTTTTAACATTTGGTTTTTCTTGAATGTTGGCACTACACATATATGCAAGCAAGGAAAGCTTTGACTAACTGGAGTCCTACAGCCTGTATCTTTTACCTCACATCTGTCTCCACTGTTCATGTTAGCAGTCTTCTCTAAAATCAAGATTCATTTTTGTAGAATGTATAAGCCTATCATAATGTGATGTCCATTGTATATTGGTGATCCTCTCAGAGGAAGCTCCTTATTTGTTTCTTTTTCCTGTTAAGTATCTGCAAATGTTTGAGTTTCCCAAACAATGCTCAATTCTTAATTTCCTGGCCAAAAAATAAAATTTCTGCTTTTCCTGATCAGTTCAGCTTGAGCTGCTGCTCAATAACTCTGAAAGAGTAGCTTTAATTCTAGCAATTTCAGATATACTGCCATGCAAGTACAGACCAGTTTGTTTTCAGTAACTCTCAGACTTCCAAAAATCTTCAGAATTAGTGTGCAGGCTGTTTGGGTGTGCAAGGTAACTCTAACATATTCCAAGTCTCCAGACTTACTGCAGATAAGCTCATTTCAAAGCACAAATGATGTAACCGTGGCACAGTAGGGAATGACATCACACAAACCAAATTTTCTTTTCTACAGACGGTAGATGATAGTCATGAAAATGGACCTTGAGGACACCAGGCAGGACCAGGCCTCTTGGGTCTATTCTAGCTCATCACTATTATATAGTGTTTCAGTACTAGATGGAGTTTTTCAGTGTAATGTTTTAAATTTGTGATTGGTACAATGGCAGCTGCAGAGCAAAATAAACTCTAAAACTTATTTTTCTTAACTGGAGAAAACAAATGCAAAACACATTTTGATTTTGTCACCTGCAGAAAGTTAGGTTTCTATGGTGTCGGAAATTACTTCTGTTTAGCCATAGATAAATAATTTCTCATTTTAAAAATGTCTTCAAGTTCAAGATTAAAATATCAGTCTTAACTTCCTGCAATGTATTTGTTCATGTATCATAAAAGCATGGGGGAAAAAGCCTGAGAGAGCTTTCCAAACCATATATGGTAAGAGACGTGCAGAGATTGACAGCTTATCTAGGTCTTCCTGGCAATGTAGTCTCAGCTTTCCAATACACACTGTAACGTGATTGGATCGTACTACAGGACACTGCAGTGTTCCGAGTTATATTATTGACTACTTTAGCACTAAGAATGCTATTAGATTGAATTTGTTAAGCAATGTGTGACTGGTATCTTTATGAGAAGAATGATGCAACAAAGCTATTAAAACTACTGCTGAGTGAGGCATAAAGCAGATATATGAAGTCTCTTTACAAATTTAAATGGAACTGTTATTTATTTATGGAAGTGTCACAGAATATACAAAAGCTTTAACTTCTTTTATTGTAATATACCATAGGCAGAATTTTAAGTTTGTTTAATATGCAAAAAACCCGAAGTTGGCAACTAAGCAGGGAGGCGGTTTGTGGAGATAATCAGTCAGATAAGTTGTAAATTCTTGTTCCACACACAGTACAGACTTCAAGACCCTCTGAGTTGCTTTTATTCTACACTTTCAGTGTTTTCTTCTTTCCCTGGAGAAAAGATCTAAACTGATTAATGTTTGGTCAGGAATTAAAAAGCACGTGTCTGTTATCTGTCCTTTTTTCCCCCTAACATGTAACTATTCTCTGAATTAAAAAATGTGCTACTTTAGGGTTTTTTTCCCTGAAGACAAAATGATTATTTACCAAAAGTCCAGAATCACAGTAAATTATTTTTAGGTGTGTGGTATGATTTTAATGTCACTTCTAGATGGCAAATGGCATAAGGCCAAAAGGAAACACCCAAGGCAAGTTCTTGTTCGGTCAGAGTACACACTGTGTCATGTTGTATCACCTAAGCACTGGGTGACCTCACTACTGGCAGCAATGAAACGCATTTTTGTAAAAGATCTTAATCTTTCACTTAGTGTTAGACTCTGGCAAAAAGTATGGAGACTCCAGGTGGTAGCACAGGTCTAAGCAGGATGTGACAAACTTTGTTGAAACTATGGAGTAAAAATTAAGTCATTGAATGGGATCATCAGCTCAATTTTTAAATGAAATGCATTGCTCAGAATAAAAAAATGAAAATATTAATGTGAACTGAAATAAAAAATGTCAGCACTTCCAAAATGTTAGATTTCGCAAATGCTCAGGTGTTTTTATTTTTCAAAATCTTGTGCTTTTTTTCTTTATTTGCTCAATTGTGGGTTTGTGTTTTTGTTGGGTTGTTGCTGCTTTTTTTTTACTTCAGCCTATTTTCATAAATTCATTTCTTTTCTGAATTAAGATTCATCACTCCTTGCATATATGCACTGTCATACAGAAGACTCAGTGAAACAGCAAGAAAGTGTTATTTGTTTATTATTAGAAATAGAGGGTTCTGTGTGCCAAACATTAAGCTAGAGTCTGTATTGTCTGACTGCTCTTCACAGGTAAAGGTTGAGTTAGAAGATATTTACACAGACTTGAAAGATGGCATCTCTCTCATGAAACTCCTGGAGCTGCTCTCGGGAGAAGTTTTGCCCAAACCAAGCCGGGGAACTATGAGAGTGCATTTTTTAGAGAACAACAGCAAAGCCATCTCATTTCTGAAATCCAAGGTAAGTTAATATTGATATTAGAGATCAAACAGTTTATGGATGTTCCTAAGTAAATATAGTATTATGTTCATTATAGTTTCCCACTCTAATAAACAATAAGATATTCTTTGAAGACAGGGATCTTATTAAAAGGAAAAAAAAACCTCATCAGATTTGAATTTCTTTATTATTTGAGTAACATCATTTATAAACAGCTAATGTCCCTCTTCTTTGGAAGAAAGGAGCATTGAATTCTGTTTCTCTCCTCAACCACCAGTTTTCAAAACACATATAGGAACTTTAAATCTTTGAGACCACCATCCTTTTGCCAGGCTTTTGCTGAAACTCATCCTTGATGCACATGATGGCTAGGGTATGAACATGGGAGTTTGCAGGTCTGTGGACCAATGAAGAGACGTAAACATAAAACCTGTTTCCTTAAGAAAACACCTGAACACCCTTTTCAATAACAGTTTGTTACACTGAACACTGGACGTGAGTGTTATTATGCTGAACAGATATTGGTTTATTAGCAGGTACAAGTAAAAGTGATTGGTCCTGAGAATATCGTAGATGGTGACAGAACCTTAATCCTAGGACTTATCTGGATCATCATACTTAGATTTCAGATTTCATCTATCAAACTTGATAAGGTAAAACTGTATCTTTGTCTTTTTGTCTGATCAGAGCATTTCAGAGACTTTGTAGAGTTTTGGGCCAGCAAGGACCACTTTCATAATGTTTCCTGATTGCTTTGATCATGCAGGTCTTATAATATTATCCAGTTACTCATCCAGCAATTTCTAATAGCAATTGAATCCACTTCCACTTCATAGTTTTGCAAAGAGATTGAACACAGTAACGTGGAGATAGACAGGATATTCATGTTCTTCTACTGATTTTTTTATTGACTTTTGACTTCACAAAGTGTTTCTCTGTCAACAGTTCTCTCTAGATTTGAGTTGCATGCTGCATCCTTTTCTTCTCTGAAGAAATATATGCTTTTTAAAATTATTTAACATGTACTCTAAGTACCTGAAAAATACTAATCTGTGAAGGTACATGAAATTGAAGTTAACAGTTTCTCACATTAGACCTGAATACATCATATTTTGTTTCTGAGTCCTACTTCACAAACTGAGCTTTGTTTTCCACCTTATTTCTGCAAACCTTAGAGAAGAGAAAATTTTAAAAGCTTTTTAACAACTGCATTTCACTTTATTATCTCTGAGTTCATTCAATTTGTTTTTATTTTAGTATAAAACTTCTGCTTTCATCTTAAATCTTTCTACCTTTATGTCAGATACAGTCTGCAAGTTATGACTTTGAGCGGATTTGTAAATAGGACAAATAAATAACACAAAGTGATCTTCGCGAACCTAAGTGTAAACTCACTGATGCTACTTCCGTATATCTTTCAAGCTGATTTCTCTTAACAGGAAGAATTTGGAGGCAGAGCTGATGTTCTGTTTGCCAATGAAGCCTTACTACTCTGGTGTCAGCATAAAACTGCCAGCTATTCCAATGTAAATGTGAAGGACTTCTCCAGAAGTTGGAGTGATGGGCTGGCCTTCAATGCACTCATACATGCTCACAGGTAAGATCTGATGGATCAGTTCAGACAGAATTGCTCGTTGCTCTGGCACAAGTTGTTCTAGGGTATGAATTACAAGTTTTTTACAAGAAACTGTCAAATTCTCTCTGCCCTTTCTCACTAAAGACTCTTTCTTAAATGGGTATTCTCTCTCTCAGAAAGGGAGGACCAAAAGCTCCTGCTTCGTTGTTCCTTTAGTTGGGCATAACAGTGAATTTCCAAGGGAATATCACGCACCTGAACAATGCTCTTTTTCTAAAGTTATTCTTTTAGGGACTGGTTTTATTGTATGAAATTTGTGAGCATGTATCCCTTCTGGTTCAATTGTAACAGAGCAAGCAACTTCTCAGCCTCATTCTTTCTCCCTTCTCTATGCCTTTGAAGAAGTGTGAAGAAAACAGCCCAAAGTAGGAGAGAGAAACTACCTATGAGAGAACCTTGAACATTTCTTTGTCCATTACCTGTTCTGCTACTTCTTATACAGGATACCACAGTGGGATTCTTTAACTTCCCAAGCTGGGTCACCTCCCTTTTCAGAACTGCCCCTCCAGTGGGCTTTGCTTTTCACACATCACTGAAGAGGATAAATAAGTGAAGGGCAGAGATTTGCTGGGAGTGGTACTTCAATTTCATAAAGGGCAATTTTCTTTCGTTATGTAGGAAAAGGGCAATGCTCTTGAATGAAGTTCAGGGTCAAAGTAATTTCAGTGTTAATCTCACATTCCTTAGCCTAATAAACAGTTTAGAGTTTATAATTGGAAAGAACTTATAACAGACATAAATCTTTCTTCCCCTCCATGTCCTGTTCTTCTCCTTGCCCAGGCCTGATCTTATCCACTATAGCTCACTGAGGCAGGACCAGCCCATTAAAAACCTGAACAATGCCTTTGATGTTGCTGAGAAAGAGCTTGGAATCAGCAAACTGCTTGATGCTGAGGATGTGGCTGTGCCCTATCCAGATGAGAGATCCATCATGACTTATGTGTCACTCTATTACCACTACTTTTCCAGACTGAAACAAGGCCAGACAATACAGAAGCGACTTACCAAAGTAAGTGCATTGCTGTCTTCATAAGCTAAAAGTTAAAAATGTAAAGATAAATTTGAGATGTGGGGAGTTCTGTGCAAACTCACCTTCAGGATCATTTGAAGTGAATCAAATGGCACAGACATTTGAAAGACGTTGTATCTTGAGAAGTGCCTGTAGACTCTCCGATCTCTAACGGGGTTGCAATTATCTCACCAAAAATTAGTCCCTTTTTGACCCCACAGTTCTGCTTAAGAACTTATATGGCTTCAAGGCAGTTTAAGGCATACAGATCTCAATCATCTTGGGATAAGATTACACAGCTAAGCAAAAGCAGACCTAGTCAACAATTTTCTTATTTAGTAGGAAAGATGATCGCTTATTCTATGACACTACTTTTGATTTTTATTTCCAAGTCCTCATCCTTTCTTTCTAACTCCTGAGGTACAGAATGGAAAAAAAAACAAACAACAAACAAACCCCAAACCAAACAAACTGAACAAAACCAAAACAATTCAATACCACCACCACCACTAAAAACACTAAAAAGGAGAGACTGCTAGCTAAATTGGCTAAATTTTTATTAATATTTTTTATTAAAATTTTATTAAATTTAGCTAAGCTAATTTTTTTCTTTGTTTCCATATACATTTCACCTCACATACAATAATGAGCTATATTGAAAATACTTGCATCCTATTGATGGAAAACTGAAGGAATTTTGTAGTTGTTCTACTGAAGACCCCTTTCCTGAGAGAGAATTTTTCTTCTATCTCTAAAATAGTCTATTCTGTTTTTGTCAAAAGTACAAAGAAATAGCCTGCAGGAAACCTACACATCCAGGATGGGTCCTCCGTGAACATCTGGATTCTGAGACCTGCCTGTGCAATTGAGAGGGGGAATATATTTCTTAATAGGAGGCACACTAATCCAAACTAAGGCTTCCCTGGTGGTGACAAGGTGAAAAGCAGTGTTTAGTCAGCTGAAAAAGTGGTCTGGGGCAAGAATTAGATGATCCCGTAACATGGCTCCCCTCAGCATGAAGCCTGCTAGAGTGCAAGGAGTGTCTGGAAAATGCTCTTTGTCATATGGTTTGGTGTTAAGTAGTCCTGCAAGGAGCAGGGAGTTGGACTCAATGGTCCTTGTGGTTTTCTTCCAATTCGAGATACTCTATGATTCTCTGTATTAGAACAGGATGTTCTCAGAAGAGAAGCATTAGATGAGAACAGGACTTGGAATTCAGTCAAAGTTTGGACATCAGTGAGGAGAGTGGGCAGTAGGATCTGATTGGTCTACATGAGTCACTGGATATTGGCCAGGAGACACTATTTATCTTTTGATAAACCTGAAATAGTCCTTGAGTCATCAAGCATGTATTAGAGGAACTATAAGGAGCAAGGAAGACATAACTTTTGATTATGTGAAGAAACAGTTTTCTTACTCTGTCCTTTTTCAGTTCTTTTTGTGCTTCACTGTTTTTTCCATTTATATTTATTATTTCTTTTCTCTCTCTCCTCTAACCTGCTTCTTTTTCTCTCTTTGCCTCCTTCCCTATTTTTAACCTGTCTCTAATATTGCATTCCTGTCTTCCTGCATTTCTGATACACACAAAGGTTCAGAAGGAGAAGGAAACAGATGTTAATCTCTTCATGTCCTTAGTCCCCTCAAATAGGCAGCTCTGAATTTACTAATAGGATTGGGAGGGAAGCCTGAATGTGTCAAGGAAGCCTTTGAGTTCAGACTAAGTGTGTAACCAGGTTGACAGAGAGAAACAGCTCTGGGAGGTAAATCTCCTTTCCCTCTCCCATCTGAGGTGACCATGCATTTGCTAGGATCTTTCAGCAAGAACTGGGTACGATGGCAGAAAATACAGAAGGGAGCCCTGATGTCATGGGCTGCTTCTCCTGCACTGAAGGTTGGTGCTATTTTACTCCTCTTACACTGTGACACTTATTGCCAAATGTACTTTCTGGTAGGTAAAAGCAGATTATCACTTGGAAGGACTGGGTCTTTTCTCAGTGCCATCTCCCTCACTAATCTGCCTGGCTGGAGCAGGCAAACTCAGCAAAATGGTAGAGGCAGACAACCTTGTTCAGCATTAAACCTGACATCTGTAGGAGGGTTACTAAGTTAGGATGAGGGGAAAAAGTAACATGAAGTAAAAATACAAAGATGGGAAAAATGTATAATGAAAAGAAAGGATAATTTCACTCTAATGCTTTTTATTTCATTATGGATTTCATTCTAGATGTTTGCTCCAGTATTTACCTGAACTTGAAATAAAGTTAGATCAGGCCACAGATGAAACAGATAAATGTCCTGGACTTGAAAAGTTAGTATTGAATCAGAGTTAGCATCTTTACCAAACTCTGTTGGGCCACCATACATTTTCTATATAATTTATATAAAGATAAACAGCTCCAACAGAGGAGATTGAGAAGAGGCTGTTTGACTGCAGTCTGCTGTGTGCATGTGGGAGAACCAGGATCTTGTCAGATGGCTTCCTAACACCCTAAACTGGTGAAGCGAAGAGGGTGTAATTGCACATTAGGACAGAATTGTTTTAGGTTTAGCAACAAGACTGGGGGAAAAAATCTGGTTTTTTTATTGTGAAACAAAAAATGTGAACCCTCAGTTTGGGATTCTTGCTTTCTAATCAGCCCACATAGGAATTGCTGACAGTCTCCACTTACATGCTGTTTAGTCCAAAACTAAGGTTTGCTTGAATAGAAACTGAAATGAGACATTAAATAATATTTATTTATCTGCGTTTCATGGAAGGCGAGTCTAAGATTTCACCTGGCCTCAGATGTGACAGCTACCACCAAACCTGTATAAAAATGTGATGACTGCTGAAGATGCTGCTTTCTGTTCACCCACCTTGCTTCGTTCTATTTCTTATGTGGCTTGTAACTTTATATTCCCGTCACAGATTGTGTTCTTCCTGAAGGAGATAGATGACTTGAAGCTTCTGTATGAGCAGATGGTCTCTGACCTCCTGAAATGGATTAAGCAGAAGGTGATGGAACTGGATGACCGTCATTTCCCCAACTCTCTTCAGGAAATGTGGCTGCTCATGGCCAACTTCAAAACCTTCCGCACTGTGGAGAAACCCCCCAAATATCAAGAGAAAGGCATGATTGAAGCTCATCTCTTCAACATCAGGACCAAACAGAGAGCCAACAACCAATGGCCATACTTGCCCCCAGAGGGGAAGATGCTGCAGGATGTGGAAAAGCATTGGGTCATCCTGGAAAAGTCAGAGCACAACCGGGGAAAAGCACTGCAAAAGGAGATGCTGAGGCTAGAAAGGCTGGAACAGCTAGCGCAGAGGTTCCTGAAGAAGGCAGCCCTGCGTGAGTCCTACTTGGAAGACATGAGGAAAGTTATTGGGAAGCAGGACTTCTGGCCGGAGAGTGTGGACAGGATGGAGGCTGCCAGTAAGAAGCTGGAAGCCCTTGTGGCAGATGTACTGCCCAGGAAGGAACGCTTCACAGCTTTGGATGAAATGGCCACTGTTATTAGCCAGGAGAACTATCACAGCAAAGATCAAATCTTGAAGAAGTGAGTGACGGTCATGAGACTGTGTGTTGATGGAGGTCAAAATTAGCTGAAATTCTGTGGTGTCATGGAAGAAAATTATTTGTAGTTATAAATCTTAGCTCTGCTCCTTATGAGTAGAACTGGCAGGAATTTCTTCTATCTGTGAGTAGTTTCAGCAGATAAGGCAAATGTTTCATCTCCTTCAAAATTCTAATTTTTGCCTTGAATGATCAAACTCTCAGACTGATTTAGGGTGAAAAATAATTTTAAGATTTTTTATATATATATGAAAATATATATAAAAATTTCAATCAAATATTCTATCTTCCATCAAAAATGCTTAGATACTTTTTTTTTCCCAAATCAACACATTTCTTTTTCATTCTGTAGTTTGAGGAGATACAAATTAATTAAGGCACAAAGTCTTCTCAGATTGACTCCACTTCGGAGCAAATATTGAGACATTATAACTTCTCTGATTATCTTGGGTTATTATATAGCTTGATTTGTGAATGTCTAAGAATGCCATATGAATTACTTATTTTGTGGTATTTCAATGCTTTTCTAAGTTCAGACAAAATCAGAAACATATGGGAAAACTAAGAAAACCAGTTATAAAAGAGGAATTTAAACTCTTTATGGGATCAGATTGTGACATGATGTAGTTTAGGTTAATATTTTACTTTAAACAACCATTTAAACACCACTTCTTTTTTTCCAAGCCTTTCCACTGTATCAAATGAAAGCAATGGGGAATGTCAGGTATGAACATCCATAAAAAAACTTCTAAATTTTAAGAAGTCTATCACAATTGATGTGCTAGTCAAAATATCTGTAACAACAATGCTTTGACCTGTTTTCTGATCATGACCTGTTGTCTTACACTTGTGTGAAGAGTTGTGCATGTTCATTTAGCTCCTCTAAAGCTACAAACACTGAGAATCCTTCAGTGCTGTCCAGAGCCTTTGGTCCAAATTGGTCATTTCTTTCTCTTCCTTTGTAGGCAAAAAACCATTTCAAAGCAATGGCAGGATCTCCTGGATCAGCTGCAGAGACGAGAACAATCCCTGGGTACAATGCAGGAAATTCTTGGCCTTCTAAGGGACATTGATGCCATTACAGAGGAGCTGAAAGAGCTACAGGTACTGAGCCCTCTCCACCAGCACACAACTTGCGCTGCTGCCAGTGTCCCTGGAAAAACTGCCATGTTCCAGGGACTGGATGGTGCCAAGAAGAGATAAGTCTATCAGCTATGTAAAAATTCCACTGTAAATGCACAGTTATTGCTTTTAGCAAGAATTTCCAACTGTTACAAGAGTGACAGAGCACAAAGTCTTCTCTTTAGCATGAAAAATAACCAGGATCATTTTGATTTTGTAATGGTAGGGAGTATATATCCATTCTTTGTTCTTGAAGACAGAAAAATCCTTATGACTACAGGTTACCTTGTGCCCGAATTGAAAGAGCCAGCATGCTATATGAAGTTGTGAATTTCAAATTAAAGATAAGAGCTGTCTCCAAGTTATGAATCTTTCTCTCCTAGTGTTAGTAAGCAAAGAACACCTAATGGTAGTAGTGTTGCTGGAACCATGATAGCCTGAGAATGTGGGAGAAGATTGATAAGGAAAGATAGTATCCTACAATAGGATTGATAATTGTATCTATTGATACAGTTAGAAGGAGGATTGACTTGTAAGCACTTGATACCTTCATCAGCCACCAATTAAATACTGTGAAGTACTTATTTTCATTATTTAGATAGGCAATTAGGTTCCTCAAATAAAAGAACACAGCAGTTAGAACAAACCACAAAATGGGATATTGTAAAATTCTCAAAATACAGATTGTAAATCAATCTGCCTACAGATGGGTTTATAGAAAAGGGATATTCATCACACAACTTCTGACACCTTCAGTCTTTAATCAATAGTAGTAACTTAGGTACGAAAACAGATGCTTATTTGAAGAGACCATTACTTGCACTGCATTAGATAGAAACTCTGGATTATTGCCATTAGCTTGTGAAATTGAAAGAAAAGTATGATTCCTCTAAATAGGCAGCTTTTTAGCTTTACCTAGCTGGTATTCTTGGACATTTAGAAGCTATGAGAGTCAGCAGGAATCTTTCAACTGATTTGTTTGTACTAAGCCCCTGCGCTCTCGACCAATGCCTTTTTTTTTTCTCTCACTTTGTTTGTAGGTGCTAGTGAATTCCCAGGATTGTGGTAAGCAGCTCCTGGAAGTAGTAGATTTGCTACAGAATCACAGCTTGATTGACTCGCAGATCTCTTCCTATGGTGGTAGATTGACACACATCGCCCAAAGGACAGCAGAAATCAGCAAGGACAGCACAATTAAACCAGAAGTGCTTTATGCAAAAGTTCAGATGCTTCATCAGCTGTATCAGAACCTTACAGCTCTGAGCAAGTCACGGTAGGGCTATGCTTATGTCTCTGTTCTTCCTGATTAGGATGGCCAATCACTTCTTTAATCATAGGGCGCAGCTTCCCAGCATTTGAATTTTTTTCATTTCTCCATTTATAAAGACAGAACAAAAGCAACTCAAGTGTCTTGATTGCAATTGGCTGAAAGGATCACTCACTTTTACAGATGAAGAATAACTTCATTCTCAGCATTTATTAAAACTTGTTTTATGAGCAGTCTGATTAGCAAGCAGTTATCTCATCTAGAGAAAGAAGGAAATGTAGTTTTGTGTCTTTTGTCTTATTCCATGAATAAATTAAAATATGAAAAAGAGGAACTAAAGTAATTCAAAGTTTTGATTTTTAAATTCATCTTTGATTATGCTACCACTGTCTCCATGGAATCCTGCATCTGACTGACATACACTGTTTGTTTCCTTGGTTCAGAAAATCTCAGCTAGAAGAGGCTTTGAAACTCTTTGAATTCTTCCGTGACTGCAAAGAGGAGGAATCGTGGGTCTCTGAGAAATGGAAGCTAGCAAGAACTACAACATTAGGGAAAGATGTCAGCCAGATTACAGCCTCTATTCAGAAGAACAAGGTATCTTACTTTGCTGGTGGTACGTTGTCTTTGTATTAAAGCAAGACTTTACAACATCCATGTCCTTCAGTTCAGTCAGTTACAGTTCAGTTCATTTACAAAAAGCTGTCAAACCGATCCTTATCTCAAGTGCCATGACCAGTGTTTGGAATTTTTAAAACATGTATAGTGTAGGGATTTTTTCCCCAAGAGGGGAAGGAAACGATAGAGAAAGAATATGCTTCCTACTGGACTTAGAAGTGGGGCTTCTAGTGAAAACACTGAGCTCCATATTAGCTAACTTTTGATGGGCAGAAAACAAAAGGTTGATAGTTTTTGTTTTTCTCATCCTCCTTTCCTGGCCAAGAGAGATGTGGGGAAAGAGAGAGATGGTGAAAAGAAGACAGATATCAGTAGGCAGAATGAATAACATTGTATGACCTTACAAATCTGTTGCCACAGACCTTGCTGTGGCTTAATATCAAAAGTTTAGCTATATGAGCTAGTGCCTTCTTATGGCAAAGAATCACTGTGAACAAGTGAAGAGACCTGTGGGCTTGAGAACTTTCATATGATAACAGAAACAGGAGCCTCTTCTGTTATTTTAATATACATTTGTGTGCATCTGTTTGTGTATTTGTTCCTTCTGGAAAGCATGAGACAGCTGAATTGGTGGATGACAAGTATCTCATTCAGAGAAGACTGCATAACAAGCTTCAGATCAAAGGCAAGAAGTAGAACAGTGTGGGGAGTAGAGGGGCAATCATCTCAGACAGCTAAGGGAAATGTCTTAGGCATGAATAAGACATGGGGCTCTAGGAAATGTATGCATTACAGTAGCAGAGAGTAGGACCCCCTCTTTTCTCTCACTGGTGGGGAATGAGTTATGCTGATGTTTCCCATCCTTCTGCTAGGCTCTTGAAGCAGAGTGCAATTCCCACAGAGCCATATGTGCAAATGTGATGAGGAGGGGCTGGGAGCTCAGCCAAAAGAACCCTGCTCGCCAGGATGACATTCTGAGGCAGACAGACAACCTGCAGAAGCTGTGGCAGCAGCTCCAAGATGAGGTGGCTGATCGCAAAAACCGCCTGCAGGCAGCAGCTCTCATCAAACAGGTAAGAGGGCTCTGCTGTGATGTGTGTATGGGGGACATGGATGTGGCTCAGTTCTGCCCAATGTCCCCATATGAAGGGCAACCATGGCAGGAAAGCCTTCAGATGTTGGTCTTCAGAAGGATCTGTGGCAGTGGAGTCTCGATCCTCTTGCAAGCCAGCCAGGCAGGAGATTTGAGCAGCTGGGAGTTGCTCTGAAGGTGAAAATACTAGGGGAAATAACTCACATGATAGTGCTGATGCAGAGTCTTTTTAGAGAATGAGATTGGGGTAGCTGAGTGACATTTTCCTCACATGAAAAAAACCTCCAAAAACCAGCAACAAAAGTAACGTGTTGTAAAACTTAGGTTGACCATGAACTTTACAAAGCCTGCCAAGTGTTTGACACTGCCATTCTGACCTATGATTTTACTCCTGCAAGCGCTCAAATATCTGCAAATAAAGAACTCTTAAAAAGCAGCATTCTTAAATCACATCACATTATCTCAGGTCCCCTTTTTTCTTTTCCCAGTCTCCTTTTCCTAAGTTTTTTGTTCAGTCTGTTGTTTCCATGAAATGCTTGAACAAAACTGAACAGCTTTGTCCTTGAGAAAGTTTAAATTCTCTCTTCTTTTTAGTAAGTTCTTCACTACTATGGATTTTCTTTTTTTTCCTGTTGTACCTTTATTCTATATCTCAAAAGCTTGTTCTCATTTTTTACAACCATAGCCAGGCAGACTGCAAATTCTGGAAAAAAGAAGTAAACTTCTGTTGTAGACCAAGTTCATTGTTTGTTCCTTAAACATTTAGAAAATATCTGTTGGAATTACATAGTACTACTAACATCACACATTGTGGGTTTCTTTTACTGCCACTATGATGCACCATGAAATTGTAGCTAATTAGGAGCTTTTAAAGAGCTATATAGGCAATCCTTGAATCTCTTTACTCACTGTGATTCTGTGAATTGTCTGTGATACAAGCATGAAATACATCATGGATTTAGAGCTACCTTACTCATAGCTTTTGTGATACGAGGTAGTAACCTTATTGCTACAAACTTAATGGAATTTCTCCTTATTCATAATTTTCTAATGAAGAAGGAGCTGGATACAATACTTTCAGGATGAATCCGAATGTTTTCTTCCCTGTGTTTCTTCAGTACTTTGCTGACATCGATGAAGCAAATTCATGGTTGCGAGAAAGGCAGCCCCTTCTAGCCAGCAAGGACTATGGAAAAGATGAATCAAGTGCAGAAGCACTGTTGCATCGTCACTTGCGCCTGGAGAAGGAGATTGCAGCCTATTTCTCTGAGATGACACGCCTGAAACAGCAGGCTGACATTGCAGCACAGCAAGCTCCAGCTGCCGTAAGTAGATGAGGGATTGTGTCACATTTTGTTGAAGAATGTAAATGAAATGGTTTTTAATTATATATTTTGATTTTGACAACACAGAATATTCGAAATAAAGTTTTTAATTAGAATTGAGGCAAATTTTTAGGTAACAAAGAAGTTCATTGGCTGCTCATAGCACACCTAGTTAGTGTTCTCTGAAGTGTTAGAAATACTCTCATCATATTAGTTCCCTCTACCCATCCTCAGAAATAATTTCTCAGTCTTTATTCTCGTAATTATTAATTTCAGTCATCTTTAAAGAGCAGACACTTAATCAAAACATCTTTACAAATTCTTTTTGTACCCTGACGCAGTGATGAACCATCCCACAACTCCGGAAGCAACTCATACAATCCAGGACAGATGTTAGGGCATATGGGATGAAGTCAACCTCTGCAGATGCCCCTCTTTTTCACTGGCTGGAAAGGGAACTTCTGACTTGAAATCGGTTTGCTTAATAACAGAATTCAGAAGAGATGAATGACACATTTCATAGCTTGCTTCTCTTAGACTTGTATGTTTACTCAATGTTTAGCCAAACAAATCTGAGAGCTATGAGCACTGCTTTGGCTCTTCCCTTTACTCCATCAATCCAGCATTGATTTTTATTAGAATAAAAATTTTATTGCTTTGCTATTAAACATGAAAAGGCATGTGACAAGATGGTATCGATATACAAATAGAAGTATTGGTTCCCTAGGGCACTCACAGGCTTTGAAACTGGAAATATTCAGGTACTAAAAGATCACCACAAATAGGACTGTAAGCATAGTCAATTGCCTTGCTTTGGAAACTTATAAAAAAATATGAAAGAAACCCCTACAACAAAACAACTTTTATCTGGGTCCAAAATGAGAATTTTTACTGAATCAATATATTTTTTTAATTACTTAAACTTCTTTAAATGAAACCAAGTTTTTTTTCAGTTGTTTGGTTCATTCTTTCAGAATAAAACAATGGAAACAGATTCAAAGAAATACTTGAAATGTTTGGTTTAAAGGGTCAGAATGCTGTGATTTGAACTAGTAAGTTCAAATTTCCCTTCTGTGTGAAATTTTTATCCAAATCAGAAATATTCATCCATTGATTTAATTAAATTTTTCTTAACAGGTGATGAAGAGGGAAGCCCCAAGTGACTTAAATCAAAAGACAACTAAGCTACCGTTCAGTCGAACCTGGGAAACATCAGAAACTGCATCCACTGGAACCTTAAGTCCAGATGTTCATTTTCTTTCAGAGAACATCTGGAAAACCCAAGATGAAATAGGTTCACTTTACAAAAATCTACAGAGCATGGCTGAGGTATAGTATCCTCTTCTGCTTTGCATTTCACAAAAAAAAGTCAAATCCAAGATAATGCAAAGAAAAATTAAGTGCTGTGCTGGCTTCTGCTTTCAGTTTAATAATGTGCCTCAGTCCTGTTAGTTCCTGCAGGCCTTCAAGGCTCAAGATTAGCATTAAAGTTTTGTACCAAACCCATTTTACGTTGGCAAACTTCCCATTTACATTCTAGTATTTTTATTTTATGAAGAGTGGATTCTTTTGTGTAATCTTTTTTTTCTTTTCCCCCATAATTGTTGCTTGCTGTAGCTCCTAAATATTCAGGCTGTCTGGCCTGATACCAGAAAAAATAAACAACTGTAACCTGCATTCTCAATATGCTATTTTTCATTCCCACCTGCTGTAATCATGCTGTAAAGACCAACAAAAACATGTTGTGACTATGTGACGTACCTCTTCCTGAGACTACTGAGTTAAGTCTCCATTCAGCAGCAGCAAGTACCGCAGTGGCCTTCCTGCCTGTCAGGGGCTGAGCACTCTCCAACTGCTTCTCTTATGCTTTCAAACTATTGTTGCTCTGGGAAGAAGTATTGTGATCTTGAAGTATCACCTTTCTGTTCTCTTTCAACAGTGTCTGGGAAAATTACTGAGTACCACCTGAGTATTGTAGCTTAAATGCAAGGATTTTTGTTTGTTTGTTTGTTTCTTCAAATGGCAAGGAGTTATTACAAAAATACTTAAGTCTTCATCTGTTTTACAGAGCAGAAAAAAGGCTCTGGAGGAGATGATCGGCTATTACCGCTTCTGTAGCTCTTGCGAAGAATTTCAGTCATGGATGAAAGATAAAGAGAACATTTTCCGGACTCTTCAACCTCAAGCAGACAATGTGGAGGTCATGCAGCAGAAATATCAGGTATTGCTTTTCCCTGGTCACAGATGACACCTTTTAAATCAAATTGACCCTGGGAGAAAAGATAGTTGAGAAATGATGTTTTGAGAGGCTTTTCATTCAACTTAGAGAGTCATGCATAGATCAGATATTTCTTTCATACGGACTATGCCAGATTACAGAAGCTGATGTGATTCTGTCCCTTTATCTTCTTGTATCCTGTACAAATATCATGGTACAAAAGGATTCTTTTTGTGGTTTATCTTACACCACTTGGAAAAAAATGCCAAATGATGAAAAAATCCATCAGTGCACTTGCACCCCAGTGGAGTGGGACATATGTGCACAGGTGTACTGTGCACACTGGGGGACGCTGGGGGGCTGTAGGAGAGCTACGTGTGCAGGTGTGCATGTTGTCAGCAGGCTGGTAAATGGAGAAGCCAACTGTGAAAGTGGGAGATGAGTGGATATGACAGATTATTGAGAATTGTGTCCATAGAAATGGAAAAACCTCAAGTTCTTAATTCTTATATCTTTTCTACTTTAGAGCTTTTTAACAGAACTGGCTGCAGGCAAAGACCAGCTGGGAGACATTGAAAAATTAGCGGTTAAATATGGGAAGATCAGTCCCAGCAAATATTCTGAGATCCAGGTTTGGCTGGAAGAGATGAACATCAGGTAAAAGTGCTACTGATGAACAGAGGATTGTCTCATGGGGCCAATTGGAGACGTGACCATTAATTCTCAATCTAGACAACAGTTTCATCAGCGAGAAGGAGGCAGCCCTCATCCTGGCTTTAGGCTGGCCCTGAGCCAAGTGTCATGCCTCCAGGACTAAGGGGTGCTTCTAGGCCCCTGGCACCAAGATATTTAAACTGCAGCAACTTGTGTGTGCATGTTAGAGCACAATGTGAATTCACCCACAGATGATAGTGATGTATTCAGAGTAGTTCTGTCTGTACTGCACTGCAGCAGCTGATTTGGTTACTTAAGCATCAGTTGAGGACACCCTTCACAAACCTTGAAAGGAACATCAAATGTATAACTTCATGGAGTATATTTAGTACCTGTTGTGAACATATTCCTGGCACCATGTCACTCAGTGGGAATGATGAGGCACAGCCAGGTCCTTATTTTGACCATGGTAGTTGATTTGGATCATATTCAGTGTGTTCTGAACCTGGTCAGAACTGAGCAGGGTCCCCTTGTTTGACATGTCACTGATATGAACTTTGATGTTGTGAGGTAGTGCCCCCTCAGCTCACTTAAGTCGTGATGAAATCTTTTATACAAGACTTTTTCTGAATATAAAAAGGATATAGTTCATGTATAACAACTGTTATCTTTCTTCAAGTTGGAGTCGCATGGAAACTCTGAAAGAGGAAAAGGGCTCTGAACTGATTGGAGTGGCTGATGTGAAGACATTTCTTCAGGACTGTCAGAGCATAGGAGTACTACTGCATGACAAGATGGTCCAGCTCAGGGATCTGGAACCAGGGAACTTGCCTGCTGGGCTGGAGTCAGACAAGCGCAAACTGTATACAGTTGAGAGAGAGGTCCTGGTGATAGAGAGGAAAATTGAATACTTGAGGAGTGTTGCAAAGTCGTAAGGAACCTTATCTTTTTTTCCATACTCTTTGATAGTTCTCTAAGATCAAGTTGTAAATTATGGCTATAAAGAGGATGAGCAGCTTTTGAAGTTTTTCTTTCTAGCAGTCCAAAGAATGAACTTGCATGCTGGATGGAGATGATCTCTCTTGAGTATGGCTGGGGAATTGGTGAAGTGATTGCTTCCAGACTTCACAGTTGTAGGAGGATAAATATTGCAGGATTGTCTGTGGTTCTAGCAAGTAGAGTAGTTACTTCTACTAATGGGATTTACCTAGTTCAAAATGTGGAAGTATCATTTAGACCCTGAAAGAGGGTAATTGGGGGAAGCAAGGGTGAACATAAGATAGCAGAGAATTGTGCATAGGAGTTTGAATTTGGAACACTACTTTAAAATTTTTTACTGCTTTGAGTTTTCTATACATTCACAATGAGAATTTGTTGCCCTAGCTGACTTTCTTTTTAATGCAAGTGTAAATATCCAAATCTGTTCCTTTTAGAGAGTTTTGATTCAAACTCTAAATAAATGCCTGTTCATCCAATTGAATGTATTTTATTTCAGTATTAAGGACACGAACCCTGCAGAGAGCAGGGCCATCACTGAGCAGGTAGAGAACATGGAGAGGCTGCTGGCAAATCTCAAGCTGGAGACCCAAAAGAAGCAGGACATTCTGCAGTGGGCACAAAATCGACAGTCCTTTCTGCAAGACAGCCGTAGGCTTCTACTGTGGGCAGAAGGCATTCAGGAGAAGCTGAGCAGTGAAGAAATGGGTGTGGATGTGGCTTCTGCAGAGCAATTGCTGAAGGAACATCAAGACCTGCTGAAAGAAATTAGCTCTCAGAAAGAAAGGTAGAGAGATTCTGTGAGGGTGGGCAGTGGGATATGACAACAGTACTGTGAAAATGAAACATGTCTATCTTGCACATAAATTGTGCATGAAAGTGATGCCAAAAGTTTATTCAAATGTACTTGAAACTTACTGTCACAAGGAGACTGCAAAACACAAAATCCAGTCAGCTTTTGCATACTTATCCTGATGGCTGATGGAGGGGGAAGGAGGAGCTGTATGTTGGCAGTAATAGTATTCCATAAGCTCTCTTGACACTCTCAGATAGTGCCATCTGCACTTTATTCCTGTTCCCCCACTCCTTCTCAGGCCTTATGTTCCATTTGCCATAGTTTTTAGTTCTTCTGCTTGTTATGAATTTCCAGATATGTTTTACCCTCCTCTCCTTTTTGATGTGAAAGCCTGCTGCTTATATGGCTTTCTGTCCAAATGGGGAAATCTCACCTACTGTCTGCAGCATGTATCCCTGAGCAAAAAACCAGCTGCATTTTGTAGTGCACAACCATGGCCATCAGGAAAAGAGTAAAAGGGAGGGGGGGAAGCTTGATGTATAGGCACTGCCAAAAGAGCAAAGAGCTGTGATGAAAGAGAATTCATATTCCCTCATGCAATGAGGTCTCATTTTTCTTTTTGACTCTGGAAAGATTTGTGCAGCTGGAAGAGCTAGGGCACAAAGTAATCCACCAACAACCCAGTAACAGCAGGACCATGGACGTCCACCAGTCCATGGAGAGGCTTGCCAAGGAGAACAAAGAACTGCTGAAAATGTGGGAACAGCGATTGAAAAAGCTGCAGGATGGCCTGGAATTGCAGAAATTCAATAGGGAAGGAGACCGTATCAATGCAGCCCTCTCTGGCCATGAGGCCTTTCTCCGGGGAGATGACCTTGGGGTATGTACAGCAGCTGATCTTGTTTTCTCATCTCCCTGTGCAGGGAGCAGCAACAATTTTCTTAATTAAATTGGTTTCCTCATCCTTATAGTCATGGCTTTTTCATAGTTGGGAATTAAACTTTCAGGTTCTCATTAATATTCTTATATTCTTACTCATCTTCATGAGAAAAAAAGCTCATTGTCTCTCAAAAAAAAATTTAAAACCAACTAGAGTTGTGATTTGTTGCTATGTTCGTACATGTCGTATGGTTTATATAAAATTGACTCATCTGTTTGGTGGCTAACCATTAAAAAAAAATTTCAGCTTGAACAAAATTTTTTTGTCAAGTAAAAACATGACTTTTTTTTAAAAAAAAAGCTTTTTCTTTTCACTGATTTAAGAACTTTAAAGCAAATGAAGCAAAAAAACAAATGCAGGCAATATTCACAAGATCAGTGAAGAAGGAGATTGTGGTGTCTCACCATCTCTCATGTTTTCAGCTGAACCTAAAACATTGATACTTTTGGATCAACTGAGTGGAATAAAGTTTTACTTAGTTACAGCCTTTTGTATTGCACATCTCTAGATGTGCCAGAATGCTGACATAAATTTAGAATGCAGACTTTCTTGAAAGGTGACAACGAAACCATAATGGAAACATAGAACAGAGGAATCAGATATGATACAAACCTGAACACCTTCTGCTTGTTTATAGCCCTGAACATCCTTAGGCACATGCAAAATGTACACTATATTTCCTGCCTGAGAGAGAAGGAGGAAAACAAGGTCCAGTTTTTTTTTTCACTGCTAGAGAAACAACAATACAATCAAGAAAAGTCTTGATCAAATTTTTTTTCTTAAATGCAGGACCATGTAGATGCTGTTCGAAGTCTGCTGAAGCAACATCAGGAATTTGAACAAGTGCTGGTGGCACTGAAGAGACGAGTTGAAGCACTTAATGAAAATGGGGTGAACCTCCTAGAGAGCAGGCACTTTGCATCTCATGTGTGAGTCTAAACATTTATTTAGCTTTAATAAATGACCCAGTGTGATTAGGTGGAGAGGAAAAACTTTCTCTGAGGAGAAATTAGTTGACCTCCAAGCCATGATCTACTGGATGAGCGGGAGAAAAAGAATTTTTTTTAATAAATAGATTTCCTGGATAAACAAAATGCTTTAGATTAGAAGTGGCATTTGGCAGAACACTAGAATAATTTGCCTTGTATCATAAATGACATACAGTGACAAAACTTCTTTAATGTAAACTGATTAAATGCCTACCAAAAAAGAATTCTTTTATTTATCGGTATCATGTATTAGAACTATAGTTTGCTTTTAAAAAGTTACGGAAAACTTCACAAGGACATAATTCATTGGGAGCAGATCCTTTGTGTCTTTATTGAATCTGAACTGTTACCTGTAATTCCTTTTTCTGTGCTAGAGCCACTAGGATCTACTAAGGGGACCCCTTTGCAAACAAGAATTAGAAATAGAGGGTTAGAATGGACCTCTTGGATCAGAAGACTATGTTCTTGTGATCACAAGTAATAATGTCTTGAAAACTCCCTCCACGAATTTATAAAAAATGCCCTTAAGATCTGATTTCTTGCCAGCACTAGAAGGTCATTCCAAAGCTTCACTGCACTTACATTACAGGGAAATTTATTAGTTAAGGTGGAATATTCAGGACAGAGGAAGGTTTTGGTGTTTTAGTGCATGACTACAATTCACTAATGTAACACAACCATACAAAAGGAAAATCCAGAGCAGCTGGCAAGCAATAGCTGCTTTCGAGATGAGCCCATCACAGTGGTAGGACAGGGCTGTATATCCCTTCCTCCTGTTAGTAGAGTTGTTGGAACTAGATTACATTTATAGCATACTCATGACTACAGCAGAACCAAGGGGAACCAATAAGACTAGTACTGCATTGAACTTCCTGTTTTTCTTGGTAGCATTGAAGAAAGAATGGTCACCCTCCGGCAAAGGTGGGAACAGCTGATACAAAGCAATGCAAAGAGAAAACAGAGACTGTTGGATTCCCTGCAGCTACAGGTAAAAAGAGTAGTACTGCAGATTTGGTCAGAGATGTGTGAATTTGGAGTTTTCCCCTTTGTCCTAATATGAGACAAAATTTCAAACTACCGAGCATTCCTACTGCAACTCGCCTTCTCTTTGGCTGTGAGACACAGTCTCGCTCACCAGGGAGCAGGTGACGCACTGGTGATAAGTCTTACAAAGCTATAGCCATAGCAAAATTCCAAAACAAAAATGGAGATTTTTGAATGAAAAATACAAACAGAATGTTTTGTCTACTGGATAAGTTTATTCTGCTCATTACTTATTATTGTTCTGGACCTTAATATTTTAGCGTAGTTACTGTAAGTTTTGGCACCAAATTCAGCTTTCAGTGCTGAGATACAAAGTTATACTGGAGGATTGGACCTCTTATGGTTAAAATATTCAATCAATGAGAATTGATAGAATTGATTCACTGACTATTAAAGGGAACAGATTAGTAAATGTGGTAAAAAGGGACTAAGAGATTTTACTTAAGGCTTAAAACCTCATTAATGGTTTTAAGATCATACTTCATTTAAAAGTGTTGATAATGTAGAAAAACTTTTATATGAAAATATATCACATTTCTTCACTGCAAACACACACAGAATCAGAAGTTAAATCAATTTAATTCTGTTTGTTTCTGTAAGGAGTTTAATCGTGATGCTGCTGAGCTTTTAATATGGATGGAAGAGAAGTACAAGATTGCATTGGATGAATCCTATCGTGATCCAACAAATGTTCTACGCAAACTAAAGTGGCATGAGACTGCTGAGAAGGAAATGTTGGCTAACGAGAAGCATTTTACGACGCTGATAAAGGTGAAGGCAATTTTGAAGCTAAGTTTTTCATCTTGTCCCATACTTCATAGATGCTGATCTGCTAGTAAAATGATGTGCTGTGTTTCTCCAGAAAGGAAATCAGTTGATTCAAGACAACCATTATGCTGCAGTTTCTATCCAGGAGAAGATGTCAGAGCTTCAAAAGAACTGGAAGGAATTGTATGGCAAGATGGTAGAGCGAGGTGACAAACTGAGACAAGCTGGACAGCAAGAACAGCTCATGGAACTGCTCCAGGTCAGGAAGTCACAGAGAACAGTGGGGAGGAATGGCCTAGGAGCCCGGTTCCTCTGTTGTGTGGATGCCAAAAAAATGAGGAGAATACCATCCAGACAAAAGTGTATTTTAAAGTGTCCATTATGTCTACAGTCTCCGGACAGAAAGTTCAGTGTAGCACTAACCAAGCTCACTCCAAAGTTATGAGCAGGATAACAGAGCCAGCACAGCACCAAGATACAAAGCTGTTGAGCTCAGGCTCAGCACTGCATCTGTGTGGGCATCCTGTACTGGGAAAACAATCAAAACTCTGTAAGGGTGAGGTCATTGCTGTGCAAACATGCTTGCTTGGAGTCAGTTTGGGGGCTGGAGGCAAGGCACTGTATTAAGCACACTGTCATCCAGGAAAATTATGCAAGAGGAACAATGTGTTATGAAGGTGTTTCAATACCATTATGGCATGGAACTGTCGTTGTGTTGTAGCTGCAATCTGAAATCTTTGAAGATTGTTTGATTGTTTTGTATTATGTCATTGAGGATAGTTCAAAAAGTCTGTTTTTAATTGTGTGTTTTAGAGGCTCAGAGAGAAGAGTACTCCAAAATAGTTTGCAAAACAAAATATTCCCAAGAGAGACCTCTTAGAGTCACTCAGTCATCATGTTATCAAGAAAAGACAATTGGATTTAAAAACTGTGTCCAAGAAGTTGTCACAGGAAGGGATTAGTGAAAGAAAATGGTGTTGAAAGGACAGGATGAGTGTGCTGTAATCTTTTCCTGGCAGGATGCCAAAAAGAAGATAGAGAAAATTGAGAAAGTTCTTCAGGAACCTGAGACAGGCCATGATTTGCGCTCCAGCCGTAATCTACTCAAGCAGCACAGACAGCTGGAAAATGAGACGCATGAGCTGGCAGAGAAAATGAATGCTATTGTATCTCATGCAAGGAAAATGGCCACCAATCACTTTGACTCCCAGAGGATTCTGGATGAAACACAGAAATATCTGAAAAGGTGAGATGTCACTCTCTTTTTGTCTCTATTCCTTATGACAAATAGCGTTTTTTATTCTACCTTATAGAAAATGTCTTTTAGTTGATTAAGTTTAACCCATGCTCAGGAATGATTTCTCCTCCCAGTTGTAACACAACTATGCTTTGATCTGCAACTGCACAGCTGCCTGTTGACCCATCTCAACCTCTGTGGCTGGACATTGCTCCTTACCTGCTGCACTCCTCCTCTAGTCCCTTGCTTATCCATAGGTCATCCGTTGCTTTAATAGTGACTAGTTTCTTAAAACATCACAGGACAAGCCTAGGACTTCAAAAGCATAAATAACTTTTTTTCTGCTTACGTTTAGTGCTATCATAGAGTTCTACTTGTCATAAGTAGCCTTCTGTAGAAGGGATTATTGTATATGCAGTCAGCATTAACCATTGATATTTACTTGCAAAGAAGTGTCTAGTGTTTGAAATCTTCACAATGGTATCGTAGCCTAATTCCTGTAGCAGAATTAGGATAAAGCTTTGTTTTAACGTATATTTAATGGATAACCCCTAGGTTTGAGTCTTTGGAAGCACCTCTTTATGAGAGGCGTAAGTTGCTGGAAGCTGCAGTGGATCTTTATGAGTTCTACCATTATCATGACATGGAATTGAACTGGATTAATGAGCGCTTGGCTATTGCCCATTCCACCAACTGTGGGAAGTCCTTGGATGTGGCTCAAAACCTGTTGCAAAAACACAAGGTAACTCCTTTAATCTAGTGTATTATAACATGATGACACATTGCACTTCGTCTCAGCCTGCAAACCTGCACAGTTAACACTTTGTATGAGTGCGTTCACCGCTAACAGCTCTAGTCCAGCTAAAATAGTTCAGTGGATTGAGACGAATCAGCAGTGTGGTGATGATTTTCCAAGCAAATACAAAATTCCTGTGAGAACTGCAAAATTTGTCCTATTTTGGAGTATTATTATTCTGAGAAATTGTGTAGCTCTTCCCGTTAAAAGTGGATAAAAAGCCAGTGTACCTTACACTAAACAGAAAATAAGAGGTTTTTTCCTTTTATGGCTCAATCTGGGTTGATTTTTTTTTTGTCTGTTACGTGCTTGTCCTAAGTTTTATGCTTACTGCTTCTTTATACATGAAATCTTGAAGTTCGTGCATGCTAGATTTTCTACAAGAACATGTAACAGCCATTTAACATTTATTTTAATTCTATACTGCTTGTAAAATGGTTTGAACAAGCTACAGTCAATATGTTTATAAAGGTAAGTTAACACTGATTTCTGGGGAGTTGGGTTCTATGTAGCAATTCCTCACAGCCAGAAGGACATCTTGGCTGTCCTGCACCACAGGCAATGCTGGATTCTGCAGCACCTTGATTGCAAATTCCATGAGAAAGATTATAAAACCAATGGGGATGCCTTATGGAGCAGGAGTCTAATAATTTTCATGGTACTGTTGACAGTGTCTCTCTTCCCATCATCCTCCAGCCCTGTTCATCTTCTGGGATATTCTATTTTCTGATCAGCAACTCAACACTCTGTTGACTCGCCTAGCTTTGTGTCTCATCTCTTGTTCTGTTCTACCTCCCAAACCTTCCTGGCTGCTGGACAGGGCAAGGGGCAAGACCATGGTAAAGAAAGGGGAGAAGGGGTAGGACCAGATCAAAGCATAAGGCTGAGGACTCTGGTGTAGGGAAGTTAAGGGATGTCTGCTGCTTCCTTACGTACTCTTCTTTCCTCTCTTAGTGGCAGTACCAAGAGCAGAGCATTATACAAGTGCTCTGCAAGTCTGGGGCTGCAGGTGTTGTAGAAATAGACAGCCCATGTCCACTTGCTGTACTCTACCCACTGTCACCAGCTGCCAGTTTTCCTTAGGACTAGGAGTACCAGAATTTATTTATCCTCACATTCTCTTCCTTTATTTCTACTTTTTATTTTATCTCATTCCCAGGAACTGCAGGCAGAAGTGACTGCCCATAAACAGCAAGTCCAACGGTTCCTGGATAAAGGAAAGACAATGATTGTAGGCCAGCACCCATCACCTCAGAAAATAAATGAGAAATGCCAGGAGCTTGTGACTGCCTGGCAGGGCTTGGAGAAGTCTTGTGAGGAAAGGATGAAGCAGCTGCAGCACTCAGTTGGCTTCCAGGAGGTACAAATTACAGCAAAGAGCTTACACAGTAGCTTCTTCAGACAAACAAGAGGACCAAAGTATTAAAGTGAATAAAAACCCAGCTCTGCTGGGACTGGTATTCTCTTCAGTTGCTTGAGGCCAGACTCATGGGAGTGGAGGGCTGGATTGCGTAGTTGAATGCAGCCCCCAGCCTAGACCTGCTGCTCTAGAGGTTTCCCTTGAGTTCTATACCCACCCCTTATGGTTCTGTACAGAACACACATTTCTCCTAGTAGTAGCTCCCTTCTCAGTATCTTTATACAGCCTCAGACTTTGACTTAATTAATGTAATGAATCCTGAACTGGCCCTTCATACTGGAGAATTATGATAAGGAAATCAGATAAGAGGGGATTTTTTGTGCTATCCAATCTTCACCTGTTCCCGGTAAAGATTCAGAGAAAGTTAGGGATTTTGATTCTATTATTTTCTATAGGCTTTGGAACTTTATCCTTAGCCTTTATCCTTTTTTTTTTTTTTAAAAAGGTTAAAAATTGCATGCAAATATTTATATCAATAATCCCAATTTTCTGTCATCAGTTATTCAGGTAGCACATCCTGTTTGATAGACATAAACAATGTTTGCATAGAGTTTGCCGGACCAGCTAAAGTATGTTCCCTGGGGTATATGATCATCTGGCTCTTATTTCCTCTATCTATAAAAACGTTTATCCATACTGTAAACTTTATGAAGCCTGATTCTTATTGTGATTTGAACTTCTCAGGTAGGGGAAGGAGAAATGTCACACTGATATGATACAGTTAACCCCTACCCTTAATGAATAAGGTAAAGAAAGAGTCAAGAAAGAAAAGCAGTGTGAAGAAAGAAAAGTGAGACAACTTGAAACTTTCTGCCAGAGCTGTAATGCCTGGAGAAGACCTTGTTATCCTGTACTGAAGTCTTTCATCTGTGATCTCCTTCATCTTTTTATGATTTCACAGAACAGTGAATTAAATATTTAATAAAATGTCACCATAAATCTTACAGTGCACCCTCCATTTAGAATTTATCAGGTAAAAAAATGATATGAGTGTTTTTGAAGTAAAAACTCATTTGTTCTGTCTTTAACTGATAGTTTTTAGTGAATACTTCAGACCTGGAGGCTTGGATTGCAGAAAAATATCCACTTGTGGCAAGCAAGGACTATGGTAAAGATGAAGATGGAACACTGAAACTCATCAAAAAACATAAGGTATTTCTCTGCTTAAATTCCATAAGCTAGCATGATCTTTTGGTCTGTCTGAGGCTATAAAATTTTTTGTCTCATTGGTAATTGGGTGTCAAGCCATCTACAAGATATTTCGTGTTGATATATGTCCATGTGTGAATGGACTGATAGAAGAGATCAATTCAGTATACTAACATGATTGGAAAAATGTAGTTTGGGTAAAAAGGAGAATAGTGAATATTTTCATCTTATTTTCCTTTTTCAACAGATGCATGCAGAAGCCTTTTTTTTTTTTTTTCTAAAATCAAAGATACAGATAGAGCATTATTCCAGGGATATTTTTCTCTACCTAATAATACATCAGGAAATTCTAATTGTCTTTGTTCACCTGACTTGTATGGATTTATGTACATTTTTTTTTCAAAAAATGTTGCTAGAAAATGATCTAAAATTGATCAAGTCTTGGAAATGTCATATCCTTCCCAAAAGTATTTCTCATCTTTTAATGTCTCAACCGTAGGCTGTTCACAAACAGTAGATCTTGGACAACTGGCTCTCAATTCACTATTTTTCTTTGCCAGGCACTGGAGCATGAGATTGCCATTTACCAAGATTTAATGAAAGAACTGAGCGAAAGTGCCCAAACTCTTCTTCTTGTGGGCTCCATCCAGTATACTGAGGTTGATGCACCAAAGGAACAAGTTCGTTCAAGACTCCAGGAGTTACAGGAGCTATCAGCAGCAAGGTATAAACTAGACCTGCCTCTTGGTTCTTAGGTTTGATTCAAAGCCCACTGATATCTCCAATTACTTAACTGGAATTTAGATCATAATAATTATCTCCTCCCTTTTCAATTGTATTTAGGAAATTGCTTGTTTCTATATTATAATTCTGAGCACCTATAAGCTTCTCATTGTTGGTAAACAAGACCTCTACAATGTATTCAAGGAGTTTTGCTACATATTAAGAATTTGAAGCCCACAAATTTCCTCTTTATCCTTAATCATCCTCCTGTAAAGTGACTTGAGATGCCAGATTCTGACTTGCATTTGTGTTATGCCCCAGGAAAATAAGAAAAAAGTGCTTTTAAAAGATTTCCTTAATGGTGCTTGAAAATTACTTAATTTGTTACATAACGTAAGGGAGACAATTACAGATACACTTATCTTTGTGCCCAGTGACTCTGCTAGTATAGGAAAGTTTTTATTCTTGAATGAATCATTTACTTTTCATTTCACTTCCTTTCTGTTATTATGAAAGCAAGGTGTTTACAATGGGACAATTAGCTTATACAGAGGGGTTTTAGCACTTTGTTGTCAGGAAGGAACAAATGTCTGAACAGTTTTGATTTTTCTTTCACAAAAATTTCATTCAGAAAAAGAATGAGACTCTGCAAGTAGAATAACAAATAAATTAATCTGAATACTAGAATTATTAAGCCTACAGAAAATGCTGGTATTTTACCTTTTGTTTCTATTCTTGTTTACAATTCAAAAAGTAAAAGCATCAATAGAAAATCCTGTGAATGAAAAGTTCAGAAAAAAAAATACTCAATCTAGAAATACCAAAACGTGTGTGTTGAACACAGAAATGTTTTGTTTTTTCACTCATGCTTAATGTTAACCTGAGTCTTGTTGTGCTTTATTGGTGCTCTGGTTTGTACCTCTGATCTGCATTCTCTTTGGGCTGGACTCTCTCAGCAGGCTACATCTCTTGTGATGAGCAGTTGTGATTCAAAGAGGGAAACCAAGTTCATCTTTCCTGGAATTTTTGCACTGGTCAGTCAGTCAGTGTTAGCAGATGGAAAATTGATATATTATTTACTGTGAAAGACCTGTAGCATGTTTGGCTGAGTTATAAGATACTCTAGACCATGGTTGCAGCAATTTTGCTAAACAGGCAATGTAAGCAGAATTGCATCAAAAGGCTTTCAAAGCATCCACTTTCCTGATGCACCATCCTCAGAAAGATTTCCTTCTTATTTTCATGAGCAATACAATTATCCTTAGAAAGACAGATCAGGACAGATCTGGAAAAAAATAAAAGATATTTCCATGGGAAGAAAAAAAAAAAAAACAAAAAACATCAGGAATGAAACCCAACTGAAATCAAAAGCAGAACAGGAGGAGAACTCAACTAGGCACAGCGCTCTTCCAGGACACCCAGCCAATGAGATGAGTATGACCTGGATGACAGCTGTCATCCTACAAACATAATTTCCACTTTTGAGAAATAGTCAGCTCTTTCATTAAAGAGAGTGAGTCTTTTGTGAGAGGTTTTGGGGATTCATAGGAAGAAAGTTACTGATTGCCCTCCTCCATATTGCCTTGGTCTAATTGTATTACCTTTTCTCCTTCCCCCAACAGAGGGAAGAAGCTGGATGAAACTCTTGTCTTGCATGAGTTTGTACGAGAATATGAAGATCTGGAAGACTGGATCACTCAGCAGAAACAAACAGCCAGCTCTGAAGACTATGGAAATGATTATGAACATGTCTTGGTGAGTTTTTTGAGTAACAGATCAAAAATCAAATAAACTATCTGTATTGAGACTGTAAACAGATTCTAAGGTTGTCCATGAAAACTTAAAAGACAGAGTAAGGAATAAGGATAAATAACTGGAAGATGGGAAGAGAAAAGAGTGAAGAGTGGGTGGGAAGGTCTGAAGAACAGACAGCATTGCCTAACACATTCTGCTACTATGAGGACTGAGATGTGTGAAACAACTGCAGGCTAAAATGTCTAGGCCTTCAGAGAGCAAGTTCTTTCTACTTTTAATAGTCAAGTATTTTAGTGTGGTAACCATTTAGGACTTTTCCTTTTTTTCTCTTTTTTCATTGAGGTTGCTGATGGCTGTACAAACATCTACAGCTATACCTCTTTACGGAGCATAGAAACCAATCTAATATCAGCCTGTTAAAAATTAATAGCTATTCTGAATCCTCGTTTTATAATCTATTTCAAAATAACTTGTATTCTAAACCTTAAAATGAGACTGCATTATCCATTTACAGTACTGAATGCACATTTGCATTCATGAAGGGAAAACATATAATTTAATAATTGAAATTCATTGTACATAGAATGTTTGTTTCCGTTTCCATTAATAATGTTTCTACCTCCCATCTGTGTCACAAACCTCATGTTTTGCTAAGAGTTTGTAGCTCCTCATGCTCTTTGGAGGTAAAATCCTGTCACTCTGCAGGGTCTTCATCTGTAAGTATGGTCAGCTTATTACCTGTCTTTTGGCTTTGCTCTGTTAAATGAGCAGGTACGTTTGGGAAATGAGAGCACTCAAAAGGTTTTGGTTTTTTTAATTCTTGTTTTCCCTTCAAAAGCAACTTTGTGCCAGATATGACACATTCCGACACCAGTTGGAAGCAGCTGGGAAAAGAGTTGTGGCTTTCCAGCAGCTGGCAGACCACTTGCTGAACTGTGACCATTCTGGGTCCTGGGAAATTCGGCAGATGCAGAAAGAGCTAAGGTAGGAGACTTACGTTAGTTCCATAATGCTTTGTCCTTTCAATTCACTCTGGAGAAGGAAGAAGAGACGAAATACTAGAAAAGAATAAGGCAGGTTCTCCTAATTCTCTAATTGCAGAATATGTGGCTTGCTTATTGAAGCACAGCTGCTGCCACCCTCATTTAAAAATAGACTACTTTTATGCAGGCATTATCTACTTGGTTTTAGCTTGCTTTTAGCTTCTGTAAATTGCATCAGAGGTGCTTTACAAGTAAGGGTGAGTGAACTTTCTTTGCCCTTTGAAACAAGATCACCTAACTGAAAGGCTAGGAGTTTCGTTGCTTTTTTATTACTTCTGATTTTTGAGTTTGAATCCCATGATTGCTCTTTAGAATAAAGTTAAAATGTTCTGAGCTTCTTAGTTGTGGCATCAGTCTAAACTGACCTGAAAGAGAAGTGGGTCTGTCTGCTGTTTTGGGCACCTCAATGTAAGGAAGATATAAAGCTCTTAGAAAGTGTCCAAAGGAGGGCTATGAAGATGGTGAAGAGCCTAGAAGGGAAACCGTATGAGGAGTGACTGAGGTCACTTGGTCTGTTCCGCCTCCTCTGGAGAAGAGGAGAGTGAGGGGAAACGTCATCACAACTTCCTCATGAGGGGAAGTGGAGAGGCAGGCACTGATGTCTTCTTTCTGGTGACCAATGAAAGGACCCAAGGGAACAGCATGGAGCTATGTCAGGGGACATTTAGATTAGATATTAGGAAAATGTTCTTCACCCAGAGGGTGGTTGGACACTGGAAAGGGTTCCCCAGGGAAGTCGTCATGGCACCAAGTCTGACAGACTTCAAGAAACATTTGGACAATGCTCTCAGGCACATGGTGTGATTCTTGGGGTGGTCTTGTGCAGGGCCAGGAGTTGGTCTGTGATGGTCTTTTGGGGTCCCTTCCAACTCAGGATGTTCTGTAATTCTATGACTCAGTTGTCCAAGTCCTGCATATAAAACCCAAAAAGCATAATTGAGAAGGGCTCTCCCATATAGGACCATCTCTTTAAGTTTATCGAGTAGACAGGAGGACAGAGTAGGGTGAAAGACAGGCTGTTCTTCAGAGAATCACTCCAACAGAATTTAATGGCAGAAATGAAAAAAAAAGTAAGAGGAGGTCTTGTTTTCAGTCTTTCTTCAGACTGTTGGTCTCCATTAGTCCTAGTTTAAACGTTTTACATGGTCCTTTTCCCCATCCTCCCTTGAAGGAACTCTTGGGAGGAGCTGTTAGAAATTACCAGATTACGAGGTGCACGGCTGAGAGACGCTGAGGCGATTCACAAGTGTTACCAAGATCTAACTGATGCTCTGGCCCATATTGAGGTAAAAAATAATCGGAAATTCTCATATAATGCAAACTCTATTTCAGCTTTATTTGTGGAATATTCTTGTGATTCTCAGCATGCTTACTGATGACTTCAAAAAAGTTCTCAGTAAGAAACCTGTGTAATTACTCAAAGTGTAAAAAAAAAAAATCCTTTGTAATCCTTAGATACGTGACTGGTTACCTGATGAGAACCACTGGTGAAACCAGGTGTAGCTGGAGTTGCTGATCTATGGGATAAGCTGAGATCAGTGCTTGAACTAAGTTGTCTCACAGTGCAATGTATACAGTCAGGCCTAAGAAACTGCTTATTGCCTCACCGTGGTGGCTCTTTGTATGCTGTTGTAGCTTTATGTGCTGAAGAACTATCCCTTGAAAAAGGCATTTGTCTGGATTACAGTAACCATTAGCCTGGAAGGCTGTCAGGCAATCATGTGACCTGATGTGAAAAGCTGGGCCAAAATCTTCTCCTCCCATTTCAGTGCCCAGTACTGGCAATAATTTCAATCAGTCCTAGTGTAAAAACTAGGGGGAGAACTCCCAATAAAAAATCTTCAGCCTTCTGTTTTATCTGAACATCCTGAAGAATTTCGCAGAGAAACCATATACTTGCTGTAATGAGAGATGTGGTTTCCCTAATGCAGATGTTTACAGGAGGCAGCGATCCAATAGTTTCCACTGTTTGCAAGGCAACAGGGCATTGTTTGGTTACATGCAATTGATTTTTCTGGTTGTTTATCCTGGCAGAGGCTGCCCTATTCAGCCATGTTATTCCTACTTTCTTCCTCTATCATGAATGGAAAATCAAACATCATATTATTTCACCATATGCTAGCTGGGATTTTCAGAACCTGGTGCATATTTAACTTCAATGATGAAGTAGTTAATTTTGAGGCAGAAACAGAATTCAGAAACACTTCACAGACCAGCTGTTGGTTTATCCCAACAGCTATTTGGTCCAGGCAGCCACTACACCCTTCTTGCATTGCATCTTGTTAATAGCTTCATGCCAGAGTGAGAGAGCAGTACAGTCATCTTGGTCATCCCTTCCTGTGTACCCTAGTCAAAAGTCTACCAGGAAAAGACATTTCTTATAGGAACCTAGTACTGGGAGATCTTGCTTAAGTCATCAGCTCCAGTGTCATCATAGTATAGACAACTACATCATCTCCTTTTATAAGACCTTACCAAGATGCATTGTTGGTACGCCAAACTAGCCTGTGAATCTGCTCCAAAAATGCACTTCAATGGTTAGAAGTGTTCTTCTAATTTTCTCTAAACTGATATGGAACAAATTTCTAATAATTTTATTCTAACAACACTGTTGTTCTCTAGCTGAAATGCCTTTTTTTTTTGTCTGCTTGCTGTATTTCCGGTGCATGTCTGGGTAACAACTAAATCCCTTCAGAACCTTTGTTGAGCTAAATAAATGTTTAAGTTTCCTTTTATGTAATGGTCCCTCCATTTCTTTCATCTTTACAGTAAACTTTCTTGAGCATCTATAACTAAAATTTTCATATAAAGATGGTTCACAGGAAGACCACCTGTATGCCAAAGAATGGGCTGAAGCTGTTGCTTGTTAATGCTACTTTTAAGAATTCACTATGTCACTGCAGCAGCTGTTCCAGATTGATTCCCAACACAAAGCCCGTAAGACGTTCTCTTATATTGTCTGATCAAGAAAAGACTTGAACCTTCATCTGCACAGTTCACTTAGAAGTGAGTTACTAGGACAGACTTTTCTGGCTTCCTTTTACCTATAATAGTTGAGTAACCCAGGATGTCCTCAAGAGTGCATTATGAGTTGCACTACTCAAAATTACTAATATAGGCTTGTAGTGAGTTTTGCTTGGAAGTAGAAAGTAACAAAGCTTTCTCTAATTTCATCCTTCTAGGAGAAGTCCAAAAGTATTCCAGATGATGTTGCTAAGGACATGAGAGGTGTGCAAACCCAGCTCCGCAACCATGTGGCCTTGGAACACGAGCTCTCGGGTAATGAGCAGCAGGTAATGACGGTGATTTGGGATCTTTAATGTGTAGCCAGAATTCAAGTTTCCAAGATAAGCATAATAATTTGGTATTGTGAACCAAATTACTACTGTCTCTCACAGAAAGACTGGAAATCTCTATGGATTTTCACTAGTTTTCTAGTTTTCTTTGTATATTCAAGGTCTAACGGCAGTGATAAAGTAAGTAATTTAAAACTTTTCAAATAAGGCGCATACTATAATGTGTGCTGATTATTGAAGTGATTCACAGGGATATTTTTGATCATTGTTTGAAATGTATGATTATGCCAGGCTTTGTGATGAGCTTATCATCTTCTTCATAGTGTTTCAAGTGATTACAAGGAAAAAGCCAGAATCAGTTTTATGTGCAGACAAAATTAATATTCATTAAACACAAAATGCTTTGATTGACTATGGAGGATTATAGAAGAAAGTATAGGGCAGCAGTCTGAAATTTTCTGTATGTTTGGAAGAGTACAAATTGCACTGTGAGAAAAAAGGATAGGGCTCATAATACAAACATAAAAGGTTTCAGCTCATGAGAACAGCTTCCTTGTATATAAGAGACTTGCTTGGCTTCAACGAGGCCGATAAAACTACTATGAGTTTTCTCTCCACTCTTTTGTTTAATAAATGTAATAGTATACAATAGTATATATAGTATAAAACACAGCAAGTGTAATATTGAGATTATTTTAGTAGTTAACCTAGTATTAATTATCAGTGGCCTCACGTATTGGCTTCAGGACGGATAACATTAAAATTGATTCCACCAGCTATTTGTGACTTTTAAAGGTAAAAGAGCATGAGATACACATGAAGAGAAAGTGGTCACAGTTAAGCTATATGGTCAATGAGGAAAAAAGGGAATAGTTAGCAATTACTTGCATTATATTAGCAATTATAATACTGGTTGCATTATTCATATAATAAATGGTATGGTAAAAAGGGAAAACAAAATCTGAAAAATCACTGTTGCAATGAGCCTTGGCAAACATTGGATGTCACTATTACTCCATAGAACTGAAATTATGGAAGTTTTTGTTTAATGTGAGAAAAGCTAAGTCAGATAACATTGCTTGAATTGTAGTTTCATGCACAGTTAACATATCCCTTATCATAACTTTTCTGATATTACCTGATGTTTGTTACTCTCTCCTTCCTACACTCTACTTTCGTCCCTGTGTACAGCTGCAGGAGCTGATCCACTCTGCAGATCATGTGCTGCCCCACTGCTCAAAGAAACAGGTGGAAGACCTAAAAGCAAAGCAGCAGGCAATACTGACCAACTGGAAGGCTCTGAAGTCTAAAGTGGAACTGCGCAAGAAACTCCTGGAACAAATATACAAGCTTCACGAGTTTCAGGCACATGTAAGCACTTCTGCCATCTGTCCGTTGGTACACAGGAGAAAGTTGCCTTCAATGTGTGTGAATCATAGGTGTATTTCCAAGCTGCAAAAGGCTGCAGGTGCTACCTGTGATATTAATGAAGCATTTAAGTGCATGTAGCTATTTAGAAAGTTGTTAGAGGATAAGGATCTTTTACCTTCTGTAGGAATAAAAGCTCATAACCAGCTGTGTATGGAATAATTGACAGTTGTCAGAAATGGCTATTGCTTCACAGGAGCAGCAGTAGTCTTTTCAAAGACTGCAATTTCCACTGAGTAAGAGTGATAAAAGGAGATGTTACACTCCCATTTATAATGCATTAAAGTTTGTTCTTGCTCTCTCAGGGTATGCAATAATCCACAGTTAACTTCATGGAATGTATCAAATACAACTTACTGGTTCTTGCACTAGCTTCTCATGTTGCTTAAACGGTGACATGGATATATCAGCATAATATTGTAATCAGCAATGCACAGTAGCTTTGTCTCCAAAGAATTCAATAGGTCACTGAGCTATAATTTGCCACAGAACGCTTTGCAAATGTCGGTAATCTCAGTGAAGGCACCCGAGCTACACCACTGCAAATCAGTAGATTATTGCTGCAAGTACAGCAGTAGCAGGTTCTAAAACAGCGAGAGTGTCCCCTTACATCATGAAGGAAATTGCTAATGTACATTTCTAGAATACTTTGACGTTCTTTTATTCTTGAACTCTTCCAGGTGTAACTTCAGTGTCAACTCAAGATATGTCTGGTAGTTCACATTCTGTTTCTGGTTTTGGTGGGAAGCAGAGAATGTCCAGGGTATGCTGGAAAAAAACTTCCTGCAACTCTGTCCTAGGTTTGTTAGCTGGGAGCAAGACCACCGTAGAGTGTACATGGTTCTTTTTTGTTAACATGAGAGACTTCTGCATATTAGACTAGTCCACTTCAAGTCTCTTATAAGTGTTCAAATTGGTGTTATCTGCCTATTTCATCAAAAAAATGTATTATACAGTTAGAGATAAAGGATGCTTATGGCACTTTGGTTTTTTTGAGGGTTTGCTTGGTTTGGTTTTTAACTGTTACAAGTCTATTATCTTGTGCAGAACTGTCAATGGGGGAAATAAAAGTGTCTCTAGTGATGTAGGTGAAAAGTTCATTTGTCCACTGTCTTTTTAATAGCATCTAGGAATGATAGTAAGAATAAGTCAAACTTTTAGTATTGTATTCTTCTAACATATATTAGAGTCTTGAAGTCTGCAGCCTGGGGTCGTCTCCATCAGGAGGTGGGTCATGGTGGATTTATCCATCAAAATATAGTCACTCAGAGTTCACTTCATTATTGCTTTGCTTCATAACTTACATCATAAATTTAGTTATTGACTTCAGATAGAAAATGTCTTGTTTTCTCCACCTGTTGGGGTACCTTTTTAATTGTTATTGCTGGAACCATACAAAGCACCTTTGGTTTGAATTTTGTCTGAATGGCAAATCTATAGCCCATTTCTCCCTCTGGCAGCGTATCCTTTGACCTTTAGGACTCTTAACATCGTAAAACAAAATGACAAAGCCAGGTTACTGTATTCTCAGTGAAATGTCTAGACAGGATTATGCTCCAGGCAACTCCCTGTCTCTTTGATGGCAAAAAGTGTTCCTGATCCTCTTAATTTTCACCTCCTTTCCTGACAATAATTCTTGAAACAGGGAAGAGCTGGTCCTGCAAGTTTGGTAAGCTTGTCTTTCTGCCCAAATGGGACAAGGCAGCATCATGCAGCCATGTCTAGTGACTAAAAAACTCAGTAGCTCTAGGGTAGGTTAGAGCAGCTTTGCTGTAGAACATCACCCAAATTGCTGAATGCAAAGAGGCAACTTTGCTACCTTTCCTCTTTCAGCTATGCCAAGAGGTCCACAAACAATGTTAGTCACAGCTGTTCAGTGTACTTTTTTCATTATATTGTTCATATGCAGTCATTAGGGTTTTCATTAAGAAATTGTGCACAGATTAGGTGAAACAAAAAAAGTTCAGTCTTTCCATAAAATGAGAATTCTGCACAATCATCTAGTGTATCTCCTTGCACCCCATCAAGTACAATTTTAGTCTGATTAAATAGCAGAGAGCTGGGCCTAATGGACAATGCACGATAACAGCAGAGGGCTTCAAATCTTCCAAGAAACTTTGTCAAGGAAGATGAATGTAGACATAGACTCAAAGTATTTCTGAGTGATCTGAGGCTCTTAATCTGAAGTTTCTGCTAGGATCTGCATGGTCTCAGTCAGGCTCTGCTTAGGAGTTTCCGGCAGACTGATGCCTTGTCTATCCTTAAATGTTGCTGGCAGCGGCAGTCCAATAACCACTCATTGGCTCTTGACTTGTTCCATCACATTATATATCCTGAGATTTATGTATTTTTTCCTAATGCTTTCTTAAAATCTCAAGGAGTCTTAGACATTTGCAGTGCCAAGTGCAATGTCAGTGTCTCCAGTGACATCCAGCTGTGTGAATGAATTAGTTCTAAAAATCAAAATTATGCCAACACGTGTGCACTATGTGGGCCTCTTTAAAAGGACCACAGTCTTTTTAAACAGTCATTTAGTAGCTGTGTTTGTTGGCTTTAAGAAAGCCAATTTATCTTTATCTCTGTTTATCTTGGCTTCAAAGGCTAAACTCAGGATCCCAAATTGGCCAGTTTCAATTTTGTGGTGCTTTTCTGAAACTTTTTTTCTTGGCTGGCAGTACAAAATTTTGATGATATGAACAAAAATCCATGGGTAAAATGGAGCAGCCAAGAATCTATTTCCATTACATAGTTTCTTTCAGTGGAAAAGCCAGCAACCACTCACAAGAGAAAATTTTTAGTTCTCTGCAGTGAGAGGAGTTTTTTTCCACACTTACTATACCTAATCGTCTTTTAAAATACACTTTAAAAACCTGACAAACTCTTTACTACCTCAAAATTAAATCAACCAATTCAGACACAATTAAACTATAGCAAAACTTAATTAGTCATTGCATGTAATTCCCAGTATAGTCCCTTGCAATCCTAATTTTAACAACTGACACATAAGAGCAAAACTCCTATTGCAGATTCAAATAAGATGTCTAAAGTAAGTGACTGTTTAAGGTGTAGAATCAAATGCAGAAAAGGACATATAGAAAAATGTCGAATTATTTTTACTTGTACAAGTTCCTTCAGTCACAGTTAGAAAATAATTCTCAGATATTTGTTTTAGAACTTTCTTGCTCCTAATTGCTTCAGCTGATTGCTTCAGGCATTTTAAGATATTGTAAATGTATTTATAGTTTAATCAGATTTTGAAAGTAAATTAGCATCACACATCCTTGTTCCTCCCAGGACTGCATTTCTGTGTCAGTCTCAATCCTATAGTTCCACAAACCAAAAGCTGAATCTGTATACCTGATTTGGTTATGCAATTTTTTCTAGGCTGTGATTTACCCTTTTTCCACATTTATTAGAGTGCATTTGTTTTTTATCAGAAAATTCAGACTCTCGTTTTAGAATATGTGCACAACCTAATTTCAAATAGACTTGCATTAGACAAAGCTGTCACAGAAAAGTAGGATGATACTGTTTTATCCTTTGTGAAGGAATAACATTAGAAAACACTTAAGATGGACTAAAGGGCAATAAATTATATCATGCTGTCATTGACATGATATGACACAGTTTGATCATAATTATGATATTACAAACCATATATGATTTAACACAGTATGGAGATATTCCAGCAGTCATTATCTATGCTTGTAAAATTCATAGAAGTACTGTAAGCACTAATGAAATATTTTCTTTCTTATCTGTGATTTTATTACCTATTACTCATTTCAAGTTGAACAGGCCTATGATTTTCCTTCCTGATAACCTAAGCTTGAGCTCTAACCTCAACTTTCACATTTTCTTGGGTTCCAGGTGTGGGACTATTTCTTATGGACAGCAGAAATAATAAGGGAAATGAGAGCCAAAGAGATGATTCGGGACATATCTACTAGCAACCTAAGACTTACCCAGCATCAACAGCTACTGGCAGAGATTGAAGCACGAGAAGAGAAGTATAGTCATGCTGTACAGCTGGGTCAGTCACTCCTGCAAGATGAGGAAATGGGATCAAAAGAGGTAATTGAAACTCTTCTGAGTTCAATCATACATATTCAGCTACTTGACACCAGTGTAACTATCACACTGTAAGCATACAAATACACATGTGCATCACTTCTCTATACACATGACCTATGTTTGCCTCAGTGTGTTACCTAGCTTGGGCCCAAAAACATCTGTTCCGTTTCCTATCTCAGCAGCAGCTGCGTGCTGGCATCTCCTGAAGGCCCCCTGCAGCAAAGCTGGGCTCATTCAAGAAGTTCACCATGTTCTGAGCAATGGATTTAATTCTACCAACTTCCCAAACTAGATTTTCACAGAAATACTATTCCTCATATCATAGTGGTTTATCCACACCAGAACAGTCTGGACAAAAATTTGGAGTGATATAACGGCACTATTAATGACTAAAGACAACGTAAAATTAGGATCTGATTTTAGAAAGCACACTTGGGAAACAGTTACCCTTCTTTGCTCTTGGCTTGAACTGCTGTATATGCTGTAAGAAGCATTTCTCCATTGCTGAAATGAGGCACCTCTGGTTGTCTCTATGCTCAAAGAGAATTGCTAGAACTTGTTTTACTTTTTTTTCTGTTTAATAATTTTGTTGCAGTTTAAGGGGATTATCCACCACTCCACTTAATCCTTTCTTGTCTCAGCTTACCCTGATCCATGGGATCTAAAGACCAACATGACTTTTTAATTGGAAATTATGTTCAGATTCAGCAGAAACTACAGGCTTTAATGGAAGAGAAGAAAAATGTATACAATGCATGGAAACAGAAGAAGGAGTGGCTGGAGAAAATACACCAAGAACAAATGTTCTACAAGGATTGGGATCACCTGGACCTGCTCCTGAATTCACAGGAGGTGAGTGAATTATAAACTTGAAATAAGCAGGTAAACTCTTCAGTCATTTAAATTCTTTCAAACTAAAAGAGGCACTACTGTTCACCTACAGCTTAAAATCCTTGTGTCTGCATATACACACGACACTCTTTTTTATTGTTATAATTTGCATTGCGGTATCACTTGGAGAGTGTAACAACGTACAAGACCCCCACCCTTCTTATGGAGCTTAGGTGTGGAACCAGAAACAAACAGATGATTCTTGCCTGAAAGATAATTAATTGCAAATAAACATGACAGCTAACATGTGAGAGTCACAACAGAAGAGGGAGACAAGAGTCCAATATTAGTCCTCTTTATAAACATATCTCATCATACCAACTGCTTAATCACTGGCAAATTGTTTTGTAGGCTTCAAAGAGAAGGGAAATTGCAAAGTGGGTTTGAGTGGAGTTTGCTTTGCAGGTGTTGCTGGAAACCTCACCTCAGGCTGAGGGTTAGTGCTGGGAAAATGCAACTACTGGAAGATGGATGTTGGCAGTGTGAGTTAATACAGGAAAGTGAATTGCCTTCTCAGTTCTGCAAGGGTATTGATAGCCATGTGTAGAACAACTACAAAAGAATTTTTAAGGAGTATTAGTTTCTGTTTGATGCAGTAGAGAGATGAACTCGTGAAAAAGGCCCTCATGAAAAGGGAGGGCAGATATGATTAATGCAAAGAGACAGAAGGATGTTCTTATTATCATAATTTTGCAGCTCTTGAAATAGGTTTTTTTTCACCGTTATTAAATTATCTTTTATCTTTCTTGCACTTTCTTTGATTCATGTAACTGTTTAAAATGTTCCAGCTCAAGGTCTAACATTTGCTATTAGAAAACAGTGCAGTCATTCTGTGAATTCATGAACTGATAGATTGCTATAGCCATGCTGAGGCTTGGCATGCGACCACATCAGTGGGTTGAAGGTTGCCAAATTTAAGGATTGATGCAGCACTGAAGGAGGTTGTATCTCCAGGTCATTTCTCATTAAGGAAAAATAATACTCTCTAAGACCACTGATAGAAAAATGTAATGGCTCTCAGTTTGTGCTGAGCTCTGTTTTTCACCAGCGCTTTGCCACTGGCACTAAATCTTCCTGAAAACTGACCCTTCGCTGTGCCATGCAGTGATACTTAACCCTTTGTAGCACGTGGGCCTGGAGCTTTCTGCTACTCATTCATTGAAGGAAATGCATATCTTCATAATTCCCTACAATTGGCAGTCTTGGCACGTGTGCCCTGCATTCTTGAGTTTGTGATGAAATACGAAACAGAGAGTTTCACCTAGGTTCAGGTTTCTGGAGTAAAATATTATATGGTTCTGCCCACTATTTGTTGCTTCATTAGCAAATGGCATGATTTGCATTACATCTATCTCGATTCCCTACTAACATCATTGCTAAGCTCCTGCATAGGAGCTCATCAGGGAAAATGTAAACTTTACAAAAGTTTGGCCACTGTATTTTTTCTCCTTTTATGAAATGGACATCAGCCAACATGCAGAGGCAGAGGCACTCTCACTGTGGCATCTGCTTTGCTCTCTATACTTCAGAGGTAAATGTGTAGGAAGCTACTGTGGATTAGTGTTTCTTCTTATCCCTGAGTTGAAAGCCTGTATTACTCTTACATGTAAGGGTAATGCACCTGGCATTTCTGGTATGGCCCCAGCACATTCTCTACAGGTAAATGGAACTTGTTATCACTCCTTTGTTTGAATGAATTTACCATTGCCATATGCTCTGAGAAAGACTGCCACAAAAGGGGTGGGTGTTCATCACAGACTGGGTAAATTGTCTCGGTGGGATCAGTCACAGTGCCTTGCCTCCTACCACAACTTTCTTTAGCCAAAGCAAAGCCTGAGAATGAAGACTGTGACCTTGAGGATCATGAAGGGCAATTCTGTTATCTGAATCTTTCTCTCATACTATTTTCTCAATGAACTTCCGAGGAGTCTGGTACTCAGTTTTCCTCACTGTCACTAATTATTCAGTAGGTGTAACAGTTAAACGTGAATACTTGACTGTCCCTTCCAGCAGCCCTTCACACAGATAACATTTTGCAGTCAAGGAGAATGACAAGAAAATAAGCACAGGGGAATGATAAAAAGTTGGTGTTGTCCATGCAGGTGTAGAGAATGAGGGAGCCACAGTTATCATATGCTCATCACACGTACATGGTCCCTCCACCACTTTCTGCGCCTGATTTAAAAAAAAAAAAGGCACACACAAAAAAAACCCCAACAACAAAAAACCAAAATCAAACAAACAAACAAAAAAACCTGCTCAGATTGAAAAGAGCGCACTTACTACAGAAAGAAGAAGCAGAAACTTTTTATTTCTCATTTTTGCTCATGTTTAATCCTTAGAAAACTACAACCAATTAAAGAACTGTTTCCTCTGTGAGAGTTTTGTGTATGTAAAGAATTATAGTTGCATGCTCACCGAGTTACTGTTATAAAATAGGAAAGTAGGTCACGGTGGTGTGATCATATAGACAAATGTCTCTGATATTGCAGTCAGTGACCAAGTATCTACCTGCAATATAGAAGGGAAATTACAGAATGCCATGGATTTTTAAATTAGTAATCTGGATATCAGAGCCAGTCATATGTCTCCTCCTCCACCAACACAGTCCCTACCATCACCAGCGTACCACAATGTCTAGAAGAGACTGTTATGAATTAGTGCTCAAACTTAATCTAGGAAGTTCATAAGTCCTGTTAGGTGGGAAGAAGAGGTGCTGAATTTGTCCATATCCAAGGATGCAAACAAACAGATCCCCAATGGGCTGTGTGCATTCCAGGATGAGTTTCAGCTCTCACTACTCTAGATGTGCCATTAAGCCAGTACCGTGAACAGCTTTCCTTTCAGGAATTACTAGCTTTCCACCATTATAATGACTCACACCTGTGTTGTTCATTCTTTTCATTTTAGTATTAACTCACAGCTGACATTGAGCAAAAGTACCATGAAGAAGAGGCAGCTACTCACTCCCTTCCCTTAGAACTAAAGAGTTTTGATGAAAGCACATCTCAGCTGTGCTTCAAAAATTCCACTACTACCTGCTCATTTGAAATCATATTTTGCTATTTTTAAATCAATTTTACTGATTTGAAATGTGGCAATGTTGAGGATCACCTCGCTGTTGAGAGCAGAGTTGATCCACGGTGAGTATAAACACAAAGTGATGCAGCTTTAAGCTATTAAGCTGCTGAGAAGACAGAAACTATATGTGTTTACATACAAAATAAGTTATACCTTTGAAGAACGTATAGGGTGAAATCAATAACGAAAGCAAGTCATTGCAAGAAGAGGTTCATTTTTTACTGTTCATGGAAAAACAAGAAGGCATTCACCTTCTACTGGATTCTAGTTCTTCCTGAATATGCAGTGCATCAGCTTGGCCCTGAATAGAAATGGCAACACTGTTCTGATTCCTCTACAGCTGGAAATCCTGCATTCCCATTGCTTTTGTTCTCTCATCTCTAAGTGTGATCATTCTTCAAACAGGTTATTCCTGTGCTGCAGAATTCCCATCTAAATGAGGGAGAAATTTAAAGAACCACAAAGCTGTCTTTTGCAGCTGCCACCATCTGCCATATGGATCAGTATATACAATTTGATAGTGAAGTGAGGTTCTTTAGTCACTACTTATATTTAATTTCTCTACATTTGAAGAACAATTGGAAGAGGAATCTATTCCTTTTGGATGGAGCTCTGTTACTACTATATGGAATTAAAATGTGGCTGCATAGCAATGTAGACTCTGCTCCCTAGGGAGACAGACAAGATGGTAGGAAAGCAGTTCTTTCAAACATGTTTTTTAAAAAAATTCAGCCAAGGCATCAATTGAAGACTCTCAAACCCCTTTCCTGATGGGAGTTTCGTCATTTGCTCTTTTCAGAAATGACAAAAGGAAACACATTAAAAAAGGATTCCTATCAGGCAAACAAATATAAGCAATCTCTTCACCCCTTGTGTTTCATCTGACTTTTGTGTTGGAAGCAAAGAACAGTTATGTGCATTTCACTTCATATGTCTACAAAATAAGTGTCTAAGAAAGTAGCTTCTGCCATGTCGTAATTTTTTAATCCTATTTTCCCAGTACTTCATATGCCTTAGATGGTCTCTCCCCCAGCAGCAAGGAACAGGGGAAGGAAAAAGGTAGTAGAGGAGTATTTTAAACTAAGAACTACTACTGAGAACTGCTCTTTCATTCACTGTACGTGCCAGTGTGACAGGTTTGACTTTAAGCCAGCATCTTGTATTACATCCAAGTTACTTAAACCTTCAAAGGATTTCAGCAGAATATAATCTAGCATTGTTCTATGCTAAAGAAAATAGAGCACGTATCTAGAAAATTAGGCAAACAGCTATCTTTTTAATTTTTTTAATAATGAATTCAGTCATGCTCTCACATAGAACTTCTGTAGGAAAGTCTTGTAAGACCTGCAAACTGACATTTCATCATTCAGAGTGCAGACAAACAATGGCTGAAAAAAGAGAAAGAAGGAAAAAAATAATTTTTGCTTTGAGCAGAAACAGTGTCCAGTACAGTCTGCTCTGTTCTGATCTTTTCACAGCAGCTCAGGTTAGCTGCTTTCCTTTTTTTTCACAGATGAAATAACAGAGAGTTTCCAGGCTGTCTCTGGCAGGCACTTTTGGCTCCCTCCTACTGTGTCTGCAGTCTCACTGTTAGAACACTCAGGGAGCAGAGCCGTATGCTCCATAATTTATCTTTCTGCCCATCCTACGCTCATATCGCTTTGCAGACGTGACAAGTGGTGGTAGCAGTATTAGAAAGCTGAGATTTTTTATTTTGAATGTGGATTTTTTTAGTTCATATTTTTTTCCCAGGGAATGTTTATTCATCTCTCATTCCTTTGCTTCAGTGGAAGAATGGAAAAAGGAAAAAGGATTAGGAGTTGGTTTTAAACACAGGGGGAAAGGCAAGCTTCTGTAGCTTTGGGTTTTGCATCATTTAG